TCAAAGGTGCAAACCAATGGATCGAAAAGGCAGACTATGGACACTCCCTAATATGGAACAAGGCCAAAGAAAGCTGTCCCAGTCTGCTGATGGTAAGGGACAGCACTCTGTCAGTTTTGAATTTCAATGAAGCTCCGCATGTAATTTTTCCTACAAGAGAGGAATGAACTGGCAATACACCACGTTTGCTTCCTGCCAACGAATCAACCTGGTTCACGGATGGCTCAAGGGTTGGTGGCGGGTCTGGTGCAGGAGTATTTGAAGGGGGAACAGGGAAAAGAATCTCGGCACCTCTTGGCAAATACGCTTCAATGTTCCAGGTCGAAGTGTTTGCAATTCTGACGAGTGTCCAAGAAAATTTCGGCAGAAGTGGACGTGGACCATCATATGCTCGGACAGCAAAGCTGCTATTATGGCATTGAGATCCAATAGGATCACAACTAAATTGGTGTCCGAGTGTAGAAGTGCCTTAGAAAATATAGCAAAAACTAGGAAAGTCAGCCTCATGTGGGTTCCAGGACACTCTGGTATTCCGGGGAACGAGGAGGCAGACAGACTAGCCAAGAACGGTTCAGGAACGACACCCATTGGACCAAAACATATTGGGAATACCCAATAGTACGGCTATATGTCCTTCATGAAGGAAATGCTACAGAGGCAGTTCCTTGAAACATGGCGGGACACACCAGGAATGAGAAAATCAAAGCTCCATATAAAGGAACCTTCAAAAAGGCTCACGAGAGAGATCCTGTCACTTGATAGAAGGGATCTCAAGATGGTAGTTGGGCTCTTAACTGGGCACAACCACCTCAACAAGCACCAAGAACTCATAGGGATCAAAGATGATCCCATCTGCAGATGGTGCTTGGAGGATGATGAAACATCATCACACATACTCACTAAATGCCCCGCGCTGGTGCATCAGAGGAAAGCGGCCTTTGGGAGCATTGTACTGCACCCAAAGGATGTGAAAGCGACTCAGCTGAGGAAGCTGCTGAATTTCGTCAAAGAAATCGGCATGCCCAGCTGATTCACAGGAAGTGGGCGCACAATGGGCCCGACTGAAGAGGCCTGAGTGCAGGGGTCTACGTACCCGCCCACCTGTGCAGAGAAGAAGAAGAAGATCTTATAAGTATCTATGTAACTGTATTTTGTGATATTTGTGAGTATTTTTGAATTGAGAATTATAAATCTGATTATTTTTGTATGAGAATATGAGATCTATTGAAATCTACAGAATTTTTGACAACCAGCCACTCCCGTATGGGAATTTTGATTTTTGAGTGTTTCCTTCTTTTCTACTCAGATGGCGTTACTCTTATATTGTCTATGGAGGACGCCTCTGAAGGAATATAATGCCGACTTGATTTTTCTTTCGCTATAGGCTACGCTTATACTCGGCGGCCGCAGAACTGGTGGCTGGTGGAATCAAAGAGCTCGAAACCGATCTGTAGGTGTCTAGCGTGGCCTGGCTGAATTGAAATCACCATAGGCATTCAGGAATGAATCACTTGTATCAGTATTCGATTATACGAGTCGATGCATAGAGTTCGGGAGAATGTAATTCAATGTTCTGCGTGGAATATTGCCAGGAAAGTGGTTGTTTTCCTCCCTAAATTTACCATTGTTCATTTCATAATGACGAAGCTATTGTGTTCATTTAACATTTAATTCCACTTTGAGCACTGTGGCTATATTTCGTAGCTGTCTTGAATGTATATGTTCAAGTAAGACATGAAGGTGTCCCATAGGTGTCCCCATTTGAGACAATTGAATTTTTGATCAAAATATGAAATGAGACTGAATTCATCGATGTGACACATAAAATAGTAGGTACTTTAGAAAAATGTATGTTTCTCTAGTAGGTATGTGCTGGAACTCGCATTCTCATGCATTTATGTACGATGAGGTAAAATGAAATGACTATATTCGACATTTTCGACAAAATGACAAATGAAGGCACTTATTGTTTCGACCTGTTGAACTAGAAAATGTGAAAATATACCGGGTGTTTAATTTGAAGAGAAAAGTTGCTGACATTTCCAGAATAACCGTGAAAAGTCCGCCATTTTGGATTGTGATGTGATCAAATCCAAAATGGTTCCTTATACCTATAGCTGTACAAAATTTTAGAAACACCCGCTAACGAATGCAGAGATTTCAAGCAGGGTGACCCGATACCCTGTGAAACCCGGTATAGGAAAGCATGCATTTACAAAACCTAGTTCCTCACTGCGGCGAGGATTGGAGATGAAAGGAAAAGTGGTAAAGAGTAGCTGTATATCTAACGTCTAATTTTCAATTGTCTTTCTGCACATATACATATACCCATCAGATGTCGCGTTTGGGTAACAGTGCGATATCACAAACGTTCAATCACGGCGATGTTCATATAAGCAAATACATCTGCGACATATGATATATCTGAGATGTCGCGATGAGGCAATAACAGAGTGTGATATCACGAATTTTCCATCGCTGTGATGTACAGAAGCAGACACATATGACATTTCTAACATGTCGCGATGAGGCAACACTGCGATATAACGAATGTTCCATCGCTGCGATGTACATCAGAAGCAGTCATATCTGCGACATGATATCTCTGAGATATCGCGATCGATGATGAGGCAACAGTGCGATATTATTACGAATATTCCATCGCTGCGATGTACAGAAGCAAACTCAACTCATCGCATTTCAGAAAATGTGTAAAAAAAATTGTCATTTATATTCTTGTTGGGTAAAAAAATATATAGGAAAATACAATACTCCACAAAGTTAAGCTAAACTCGTAAACATTCGTTACATCGCTATCAAACTAGTCTTGGTTTGCTAAGACACACTACATATAATTTTTTATACAATTACAAGTAACCCAGCAAACTTGAATAGGCGGTAAATAGCCGGGCCATAGCTGTCGCAGCGGATATGTGTCGGAAGCGGAAAACCGATAAAGGCAAAATGTTAGAATGACATCGGTTGTGCCGCCACGGTTTGATGTACGCATATTTATTATCCTCGTTTATTGTCTTCCATCCCATAATTGACCGTTATAGAGATATGCCACAATCGCGCCGCTGTCGATTCGACGCTGGAGACAAACTTCATTGTATAAATATATTCTCATATTGTAAGGTTTCATGGGAGTGGGGCGAATACCACCCCTCCACACTTTTTTATGGTGATCCCAGCAATAAACTATATCTTCTGACATCAAGAATTATCTGTTATATAACAAATCTCTCTATCTCTGAATATATGGCCTCTTGTCTTACGACATACAGCCAGAGCCCTTATACGGAGAATCCGTCCCCATCCGGCCTGGATGCCGGCGTAAATAATAACTTTCAATATGTTGTCCTTGCGAGGACGTTAACTTACACCTCGCCGACGAATGATTGCTCGTAGGCTATAAATACTCTTCGTCAATGTCCTTCACGTAAGTCCATTGGACATCCTTGGGAAACTTTTTCAAGATCTATTGGGGACCTTCTACGGACCATCAACTCAACTGAATGTCCTCATCAGTTATGCAAGATCTGGTCCTAGAGGGACCCAGAAAAATTCAAATTCAAGAATAATTCGTATAGGTGTCTGCGGGACCATCCTATGGACATCCAATTAATATCCCTCGGCGTTGCTGCTAGGTTGTCCTACGTATGTCCTGATTAGGATCTCCTCCGTAGTGCTTGATGAGGAATACTGTAGGATTTGGGTATTCGATAGTTGTCTCATGGACATCACTCAAGGACGTCCCTAGTTGGTCCTCAAGTGGGACATTTGTGCGTCCCACAGACGTCCAATGGACGTCCACGGTACCAAATCCGAACGTCCTATGGATGTCCTGAATGCCCCGACAGAACGTCCTAAGGATATCCATGGGACATAATTGTGTTATTAGGGGAATGGGGTAGCAAACATACTAGTCGAATTTACGCCACAAACCTATTTCATATTAATTATTCCGTGTATAGATAGTATCCGATGCAATCATTCGTTATTTAAAATCATCGCTAATATATTTTTTCAATAATGAAATTCGGCACCCTCGAAAACGCCAGTTTCGATGACGTCATGGACCGAACCGAAATTCATAGTTATCTGATAATTTCTGGCTTTCGCATGAAAAGTATGATCACGTATTTAGACGCTGCCAAATTTGTAACTAGTGACCAATGACCAATGGCAACAGTACCTACCTATTTATTATATTCCCAGAAGACTGTAGTTCGACCTGGTCCCTAATAATCACTTATTGGATACTTTATATATATATACTTGCGAGATGCTTTAATACCAATAAAAATATCCTAGTATTCCTAATAATGAGCGAGATTTTATTTGAACCCGAATTATTTTGTCGCACTGGCAACAGCGTAATTCCTAGAGTTCCAGAAATACAAGATGAGAAGACGAACTACGTTGATAACTCAACTTTCTAACGTCACCTTTATCTTCATTGTTTCATCTAGTCAAGATGCGAATATTCAAAGATATTCATCTTAATATCTGATTCTTCAATTGTGTGTTGTGTTCACTGTTATCTGCAGTGAGTATTCAGTCCAGAAAATTCACTCGAGTCTAGGGCGAGCACCTTCTGAGGACGCGAACTTTTTCAATATTTGGATTGAAATGACAATCAGAAATATTCTTGCACTGGTCTAACAGACAAGAATGAAGGATACGTATGTCGGATTATTACGTTACGCGTTTCCCGCGTTTTTCATGTTACGAAATATCGTGAATTTCAATAATTATTTTGAAAATGTACAGATCGAGCTCTGGGAAAAAAACGGTTTGCGACAGTGAACTATATAGTTAGGGTTAGTACTTTAAAATAATAAAATAACATTTTTCACTGAACAGGCCCATTATTATAAGGAAATTGAAAAAAATATATTACCTGATATCATATGCTTGGTACCAGAATGAAACTTTTTTTTATACTTGAAAATTCAAATAAAAAACCTCTAAGGAATAAATAATTTCTGTTGAGTAAAAAAACAGATGTATTTACAATTGGAGTAACAGACAATCAAGTTTCACAGTCTTGCTTCTGTTTCAAGGTCTTCCTAACTTTCTGCAAAACGTTCGTCATCTGCTCGTATTTCCCCGTCGAATTCGGTAAATTCTCAAAATTGATAACTGGGCTGACGTCCTTCATGAAATTATCGGATTTTGGAATTGTCGAGTATGGGGAACCACTTTTCAGAATAGGAGTACCGAAGGCACTTCCCTTAATGCAACTGATACTATCATTCAACGGGGGTGATAGGGCACAATCTTCATTCACTTCGTCATTCAGGGTTTCAGATACTAAAATCGATAACGTCGATTGGGAATATTGGGATATTTCCAATGCAGAATCCTCGTTTTTAATAGTCGTCTGAGAAACGACACTGTCTTCAATAATTTTTCCATTTTTATTGTTATCCGTTTTGGGGTCAGGAGCTGAATTATTATCTTGTAGAGCTTCCAAAAGGATCTCCTTTTGCTTCACCAATTCTGTGATTGAATCTTCATCCGCCTGAAAAAATGAAAACATTATATAGATGACTCATTATGATATCAATCGAAATGAAACTCACATGAACTGGTGAAATTGTTTTTGGTCTATTTTCTAACACTGAATCATCGTTTGGAGAGTCAACATCCATGTCACTATCATTATTCGCATTCTGTTTTTCAAAGTAGTCCAGCATTACTTGCTTGCTGTAATTTTCCGAGTATGGAGGCACCCGATGTTGTCTAAATTCCTGTAAGAGATATACTCCAATCAACAGAAATTCTTTCATTCCATTTGAAAAAGACAAATAGAACAATTGAAAGAGATTTATTCTGATCATTTCCTATGCAGAAAATACATCACATTTCAAGGACCTCTGTGTGGAACCGCTGACAAATCAACAATTCAGGGTTCAGGATTTTTCGGATAAAATTTCATATTAATTTCGCCTCTTGACTAATACTCTTAAATAAAAGGAGAAAAAAAACTAGAAAATATTTCAAATAATACGATAATATGAGTTTTAGTAGCTATCTATCTCACTGTACTACTGTAGACCTCTTTTTTAAAAATTATCAATTCTTCCATTACCCTGTTGCTATATAATGGAGTGACTTCTAATCATTCATAAAAAATGTTCAACAGATGGTGTTGTACGGCACAATCATATACATTCATACTCATACCATTCTGTAGAATTAAGAAAACACAAAATTCATATAGATATATATCAGTGCTAAGCTCTATAATGTCCTACCACACAGCTATAAAGGTTCAACTTATTCAGTATTTAAGAAAAAAATACGTGATAAACTGATGTTATGTTTTTACTCAGTTGAGGAGTTTCTCCTCCACATGCCAAGGAATTTAATGAGCTTATGAAATACAGGGTGTTCCATTTAAAAAATCATAAGTTTAAGTCGTATCTCCAAAACCATACCCCGAAAAAAAAAATTAAGTGCGCGACTGGATTATGTGTGGAATTCTCTATGCGATAAGATTTTGATTTGACATTTTTGTTTAGAAACTTCGTGGATATAGAGGGGGTCCAAAAAGTATAAATTTTCAAAATCGCCCGGTATCTAATAAACGGAAACAGTCTTGCAAAATCTGATTAGGCCATCTTGAGTTTCACAAAAAAAGTGGCACAGGACCGCGAAAACCGCAAGGTTCTATCTCCAAAGATAACTGAGATATCAGGCAAAAGCATCGAAAACTGGACACACTGTACATGCGAGTTGCATGTTGATATTTGATATTTATTCTCGTGTGTCATGTTTCACTTTACTTTTTTTATATATATATATTATTGCAGTGCCTGTAGTTTCGATTTTAAAGTGTATCTGTGACGAGTGTAAAATTCTTGTAATTTTATATAAAATAAATCATCACTATCATTATAACAGCCAAAATACAAAAGAAACCATAATGTTTTCCATTATCAACACAGATATTTCAACCAATCATGAACGTGTATTTTGAAATGAGTGGAATATAAACTCTCTCTTGACAGTTAATTTCAGGTAAGTAATCCTTGAATTCCGATTGAGAATATGAGCATGCAAATACAAGATATTCTATTTCAAATGATGTATATTGGACATCTACTTTCATATTTTATTCAAGACAGTCACACTCAAACACCGTGTACTGTATTCCGTTTCGCCTACCCTTTTTGTTACTTACGTCTTCAAAAATTTTATCCATGGGCACATTGAATCCTGGAAAGTCCACAATTTTATCAGGATCCAATCCCTGCTTTTGTTTGACAGTATGTCGAACATTATTACCATCAGCATCGAACATATTCAAATTAGAATTGACACTTTTGGCTTCCTCTAGCCACCCCGGTGGGTAACCTAATAGTCTCATTCTATAGATATAAAATGGTAACTGTTTTTTCTTCAAACCTAGTGCCTCCCGCAGTTGACTGGAAATCTTCCCAGGTACTAAATGACTGTATTTCTGGTCATCTTCTAGGTGATATCGACTAAAAGACAACCAAGGAAAATTGAATTAAGAACAGGAACAGTTGGATCTTCTTATAAATTGGTTGGTCCAATATAGAGCTTGTCTCAATTTAAAAAATCTTCCTTTATATCTTAGCTATTAGTCCTGCGATTCTTACCAAATTTGGACCAGTATGATTGTCCATAATATGATCAGTTTTCAGAGACGAACATCAATTTGGACAGTGCCGTGCGTTCATGTCTAAATAAAAAGTGGTTGATTAAATCGGCTCGATGTCAGTTGACCTAAAGTCTATTCGGCGAAAGTCAATTCGTCAAAAGTCAATCCGTCAAAAATCAATTGGCAGAATACGTCAATTTGCCGAATACGTCAATTGGCCGAATACGTCAATTGGCCGAATACGTCAATTGGCCGAATACGTCAATTGGCCGAATACGTCAATTGGCCGAATACGTCAATAGGCCGGATAAGACAGTTGGACTAAATTGGCCGTTTTTTTTGTGGAAATCACGCTCAAATCATGAACAAACAAAGACAGTTATTTGAGTTTCTATTTCTCCTGTCACTGTTGAGTCTCGGTTCCTATTCCATCGCGGAAGAAAGAAGAATAATCGAAACCCCCAGCAAAAACCCTATAGCTATCTACAAACTTATGCAACTTTTAAAAGGTTATGGGAAATATTTGAAAATTGATGAATAGGTCTGCTCCATTACAATTGCCATGCTTTTGAATCATTATTCGATTTAGGTAGATCATTCTTGACTCGTTCATAAATAGTTCAAACATCAATGGCAAAACATGGTTTTCCACGTCGTCTGGTCATAGACGACTTATCTGTATATCTATTAATTAGTATAAATCTGTAGAGGCTTTTGGAACAAGAACTAAAAAAACTTCGGAAAGACTTTGGAAATATCTTATAACATATGAAATTCGATGAATTTACCCAATTTAGTCCAACTGACGTACTAGGCCAATTGGCGTATTCGGCCAATTGACTTCATTGAAGTCAAATGACATCGGCCCGATTAAATCATATTAGGAAATTTTTGCAGGGAAACTAATTTCATTGTATTGTTCTTCATGCTTTTTGAAGCTCTATACAGAACTAGAGTCCCTGTATGTATAATTCCCTGTATATATTTGTCAGTTTTGTTGTCAAATACATACAGGGACTCTATACAGAACAACGTACCATACATTCTACAGGGTGAACTAGAGACCAAAATTGGCCGATTGAAATCAACTGACCTCCATGCGAAAGTACACTACTGAGCCGTGAGAGGACGATGAAGAACAATTTAATTTCCAGATTTTCTTCAATATTTTGAAATCCTTGGAAGTAACTGCTCTGGAATTCGTAGGGTAAATTACTATAGTGAATGTGCATGGATAACAAGTCGTACCAATTCAATCAATATACAGGGAGTTAGGTATTTCACATTCTCTTTGATAAAAATTAATGTATCTTTTTTTGCAGTACCGGTATTTACCACATTTTGATGTTTCGATGAATGACAAAATCAATGATCACACTTTTTCTAACTGCAGTTTCTTCATAATTTTTCTTGGTAAGATATCTAACAATAATTTAACGATTGTTTAACGAGCACGGAATGCTAGTGATTTCTCACAAGAATGAAATTTGCAGCATGAGCTAGGCGAATAACATTCACGACTTGTACCATAATGATCGTCTTTATGATCCTTATTACATAAATAACTATTATGAATTACTTTAGAATATGATAATAGTGTTGGTCATCATCAAATTTATTTATTTTTTCTCGAATTGAGTTTTTTTTACATGAAACCCTGAAATGAAATTCGGAAATGACCAGCTCCCAAATCCTATGATGAAGAGCTTGCGAATCCGTAAACATGATAATTGTGAGCAACAACTCAACACAAATGAGGTAGAAACGAGCAAAACATGATAAAATTCTAACATCATAAACTCGATCATAAACGAGTAGTATGTAGAAGCACCAAAATGAATTTTGTTATTTATCTCGAAAACCAAGAAATATAAAAAACTGCAGGTAGAAAAAAGTTGAACAATCGATTTTGTCATTCATCAAAAAATTACCTATGATACGAGAAATGAGAAACAAAAACAAAACATTGAAATATAAATCTAATAAAACAATTGGACAAAGAAATTATAAATATTTGATTCCATATTTATTGTATGATGAAATTCCGCGTGATATTGAAGAAGTCGAATGTTTTTATTGCTACAATACTAAAATAAAAAACTGGATATTAGTCTCTTCAAAGAGTTTATTTGCTTCTTTGGTTAATATTTAATATCTATTATACGGAATTTGAATCAGTTCTGAATTGTACTTAGACCCAATGATTGAATGAAAAACAATGAATTTTTATTTATAAATTATTTCTGTCTCAAATTAATTAATCAATTGAATTATAACCATAATTTTTATTTTATATACCTTACAACAAGTTATACTTCGTGAGGTTTTCTTTGTTTATTCAATACCAATATGGTACTTTTTATTTATATTATGTCAATATTTTAAATAAACTTCATTATCATTATTAATAGTATATTATGTAACAAGTGTTATAAACGTCCTTTTAGACACGAGTAGTTTAAGCACGAGCGGAGCAGAGCGGAGCGAGTGTTTAATTAACGAGTGTCTAGAAGAGTTTATAAACGCGTTACATACTATGATTTTTCTAGGAACTGCGAAAATTACATTTACATACCTGCAATGCAATTCCTGCTAACCTACAAAATAATTCGAAAGGAATGGGAATTGAGAACATAATACATGCAACTGCATGCAACCAGCGAGACACGTATAAGTGATATTGGTTGTAGATGTGTCAAGTCCATTGCTTACTAACCATTGTTTCACGTTTATTGTCATGCTTAGCGCAGAATAAATAAATTGTTCTCAAAGATGGATGCTTCATTTTTACACTTCTTCGAGATATGCAAGTACCAGAACATTCTCTTCGATTTCACTTTCGTTTACTTTTCGCATATATTTTTAATGAAGAATTCTGATACGAACGAATATTGTTTGAATAATTCTGATACAAAATTCAAAAATAACAGTTGACAGTTAATACAATTGACAGGCCAGACATGTCTCAAATTACTGAAGCTGTGTTTAATGAACTGCGTTGCCATGGTAATGTGTTTAAGAAATCGTGTTGCCATGGTAACGTGTTTAATATTTTGAATAAATCACAGATCGACAATCCGTGATTAATCGATCATTTAGCGTGGTACATATCCGTATGCTAAATGCCATTGTACATTGATTGAATTGGTAGGACATGTTTTCCATGCACATTCACTATAGAAAATCAAAATTGCTCTCCGAATATTAGAGCAGTACCATCAAGGGTGCATTTTCGTATAAGCTATGGGAAGAAAATTAATGTTCCTGCAAAAGAAACAGGAAATACTTTTCGTTTATAATTCTCTGTTTTCTAATAAATAATTATTTACATTCACAAAAATTCTGTTTAGATGTGCCTGTTTTATTTTAAATCCTTCATAGAAATTATATGAAAATTTATATATTTTCTAAATAAGAAGAATAGTATGAGGTTGGTTTTCCTGTAAAAATATATGATTTCACGAAAAACCTTTTTTTATTTTAATAAAAACGCACGGCACTGTCCAAAATGATGTTTGTCTCTGAAAAACTGAAAATGGGCGAGTGGACTGATAATGAATTATTGGCATTCAATAACTGCACTGTGTCCTCAGGAACCTGAATTAATTTTTGCAATACTGCTCACACTTTTTTTATGTAAATAATTAATCTATGTGTTGTTCAAAATCGTTGAATTCCAGAGCTCATTTCAAACGTAACATCATGGCCGTTATTTGGTGATACGTCGAATAAATGGTGACGACAGTTTTTATGCTGTTTCGTTTTTGGTCTGATGATCTTCCATTTTCACTCATGAAACAAGGTTGTCAAGTCACCAATTATAATCAAATTTTGAGTCCTGTCGTTGAATAAAACCGAGGGGGAGACCACCTCTGAAAAATATGTACATGTATTGCGGAAATCCCATGATTTCAGCGATTTCAGAGAATTCTTTGTAAATTGTTGTGATTTCGGAGGATTGCGAACTGAATTCAGTGATTTCAGAGTGATTACAGGGGCTGCAATGGGATTGTGAAATTATATTGAGGATTGCGAGACGATTTCCGCGATTGTGGTTTCATTTGCTAGCTTGATTGCAATGGTGAATTTCTGAAATTAGAGTTTATATGTGATTTAATTCAATTACCACATAGGTAATCCTTTCGAATTGTAGAGCATCTACCTAATTATTCAAGCATGACGGATTATACAACCAAATAAAGTATAAACATAATTGAAGAAAATTTGGAATTATTGAAAAACCATTTTGTCTCATATAGACATTTTTATTATTCTTTCAACTCTGGTGTTTTTCATTTTATAAAAGTGAACATAGCATAATTATTATACTGGCATTCATGTTAGCGAATTGACTGTTTCTTTGAATCTTTCTATTTTTTCTCAATATTCATTACATCATTTCTTTTAATGCGGAAAGGTCCATTACCGACTAAGTCGATTGGCCCATACAATATGTACTTTTTTTCTACAACTTGAATATCTTCCTTATCAGGCCATATACAGGGTGATCCACGGTGGATGTCCTATTAGAAGTATCTGGAGAAGGAAAAGACAGAACATTCTGAAAATTGCGATTCTTCGATAATTGAACATTCTCTATCCATCTGAAATATTTTCATCGATACAGTGTTGCCACTTCTATCAGAAACAACTAGCAACTTTGTTATTTCGAATGGAGCACCCTGTATTTCATTGCATTTTTAGATTCTTTCTAAAGAGCTGATTTCATCGATGTATCACACTTGGGGTCTAGCAGGGATCATTACAGAGACATAAGGTGTTCAAAATCGAGATTTTTAAATTTTAAGAAAAATCTCGATTATGAACACCCTATATCTCTGGAATCATTCCTGCTAGACCCTAAGTGTGATACATTGATGAAATCAGCTTTTCAAGGAGAATCTAAAAATTCAATAAAATACAGGGTGGTCTATTTAAAATGACGAAGTTGCTAGTTGTTTCTGATAGAAGTGGCAACACTGTATCGATGAAAATATTTTAGACGGATAGAGAATGTTCAATTATCAAAGCATCCCAATTTTCAGAATGTTCTGTCTTTTCGTTCTCCAGATACTTCTAATAGGCCATCCACCGTGGATCAGCCTGTATACATATCCAGCTCCGATTTCAAAAACTTAATTCTAAAGGTATCATTTTCGAGGATCTCTAAAATACGTCCAATATACCAGGTGTCATAAATAGCTGCATAATACTTTTCCATGCATATTGACGTTTCTTTCTCTCCATTTGATTCTTCCTCCGAAAAACTTTCATTTTCAAATTCTGATTTCTCAGAATAGCATACGTCACTTTCACTATCCGAGGTTTCCTCAACATGATGATTCGTCGATTTTTTTGACGGTTTTTCGTTCTGTTTTTTCTTTGTGGCAGAAGAAGTGGGCCACCAGCTGGGCTGGTGGCCGTGAGCGTAGAGTCGCTGGCTGTTGCCCAGGCGGTCCGGGTTCGATCCCCGGCGCGAGCACTGAATTAATTTTCGGTAGTTTCGTTGGGCGGGAGGAGATAGGTGGCCAACCCAACATTCTTGGTACCTAGATATCAATCCTTTGGACTGTCCACGGTTACCAGCCGAGTAGTGCTTCGGATGACACTTAAAAAGCTAAGGTCCCCGTCTTCTTAACTCACACAAGTCTCTGACTTTCGAGGGTTGCTTTGCAACTAAGCTGGCGGTTAAAAACACTTTTTTTTTTTATTCATTTGACCAAGATTTTGACTTCGTGTTGACATACCTCGACAACGAATTTTTCTGTCAGATGATAGTTTCCCTTTTTTGTCAGCGAAGAACCAACATAATGTCGATTTTTTCACACAAACTCAAACTACACTAGAGATTCTTCAAAGATTAACGTATAACCGAAAAACAACATAAAATATAATATACCTTCCAAGATACCTTCGTTGGTTTACCGCAAATGGTCGTATCCCCTCCATCATTGAATTCGATGAATTCCGTGATTGCGGAAGCGATTGCGGGATTGCAGATAGGGATTTCGGCGATTGCAAATTGACTGCGGGATTTCAGGGGATTTCAGTGACGATTGCAAGTGATTTCAGACCAAATGTACCAAAAGTATTGCAGAGAGTGGTCGCCCCCTCGAATAAAACATAATAGGAGGAACTCATGATATTATAGTTCATTCTTGACTTTTTCCAGTAACCAGCATGTTCAAATATTTTGGATACTTGGCAACATTGTGCTGAATGCCAAGAAGTGACAAGACAACGCCCACAAGTCACACTCGAAGTTGTCACGTTCACCGATTCAAATGTCCTCCAGTGTGAATTAATATAATTATTATTTACACAAATTCATTATAAGCAATAAGTCACAAATACCAATACTCAATTAATATTTTATGAATTATACTTAGGAAATCGTGACGTCAGTTTTTACTGGCGGAAATTTCAGCCGTTTGAAGATTACCGTGACATTATTGATGACTTTAGCACCTAAAAATCGACCGAAAATTTCTTAAAAAATATTGAATTGAAAGGTATTTGAGTGCTGATTCTATTCAAGAAATAAAAAAAATTAGCCCACTCGCCTATTGCAGGACTAATAGATGAGATATAGAGTATAGAGGGAGGGCTGTTTTAAGGGAGGGTAGTTTCAAGTGAGATATGTTGTAGAGTGTGTCCCAGCTAAAACTTGTCACCCTTCTTATCTTCAAAGTCATAGAAAAAAATTGAAAAATCCCTCAAACCCGTCGATTTTTATTTCAAGGGGAAACTCTTCCACCAAATACTTAATTGTGCTTTAAACCCTTTCATCCTCAGCACCCCCTACTTCCGAATTTCCAATAGAACTAGTATACTTGTGATGCATCATTTGATACTGTTATAAAACAAAAATACTTATTTCAAATTTTCTCAAATAATATAATGAAACTCTGTACTTATGTCAGTATTGAATTGAATTCCTAGCTACTTTTAATAATAACTCCTAGAAAAAAGTTATTATCAATAATTTTTCCCCACTTGTTATGGACCTCATGGATGACACTGTATATAAGACCAAATAGTTATTTGTTTAACTAGGCAGCAAAGTACGGCTACGCTCGGCTATGAATTCAGCCACGGCAGTCAATCTACTTTGCTGCCGAGTTGAACATATAATTTTTTCTCCGATTGTTCATAATGATATGGGAGAATATTGTATTTGCGAATTAATACAATTCCCACAATCTCTTTATTCTTCCTGTATAGTGTTCAATTAAAATAAAATTTGATAGAAATCGCAGTTGTTGGTTTGACAATTCATGAAATTTCTGACAGTTGTGCGAAAAAATATCGGTATATTTAAATTATTATATAATGGACAAAGATAGCAACCTGGAAGTATACTTACACCTCCATTAATAAGGGAGGTGGCAAAAAATATAGAGTTGAATTTGTTGCCGGAGAAGTCTCGGATGAAATATGAAGAAAATTATAAACGATTTATGGATTTTTAATTTTGCTGATACATATCAATCAGCAAAGTACCCACTTTGCTGCCTAGGCAGGAAAAGTAATACTTTGCTGATTGATATGTGTCAGCAAAATTAATATTTGCTGCAAATTGAAGGAAAACATGTTTCCCTGATTGCTGATCAGTTATCAGTGAATAAATGTTGCAGAGATGATTTAGTGTCTCCTCCTACAATGAAGTTTTATCTCAATTTAATTGAGAATCTTGATGTTGATTGTCCCAAACACCCTGGAAAGGGGCACTACTTATTGGTTTGTTGAATATATCTTTCTATAAACAGGGTGTTTGTTACAATCATGTTTACAATGTAACAATTAAAAGGTAGGTATCCACATTATTCTGTAGCCTGTAGCCTACCACTAGATTACACATCTGAGTAATAATTAATAATAATTAGTATAATTCAGAACACACTATGGACATATTATGTCCCAGATTTTATTAGTACCTACTTTATAAGAATTAATCCAAAAGCAGCTCATCTTTTTCATATTACTTTTCACTCCCTGCTTCTCAAAAACCAAGAATTTAAAGGGTTTATATTTCAATTTCATGCATGAATTCATGAAAGATACCTATCACCAGTAAGTAGGTACCATAGGCTCAACACGCATAGGTTCTATAAGTTAGTCAATAAGTAAGTACTCAAATCCTATCAGAATTATAGTAGATATAAGGTGCAAGAACATTCAATGAATCAATTTTATTATTTCAATCCAGTTCATTACTTACGATACTTGTCTTTGTGCTTTAAATTTTTGTCTCATTGCTGATATTCTACCAAAATCTTTTGGTGCAGGACAATCTTTCAAAGCATGGCTTCCATCACAATTGAAACAAGTTTGTGTAGAAATTCTTATGTTATCTTGTTCCTCATTTTCAGTGGCCAAATCAATGTTAAATTTGCTAGAATATATTGAATATGTGTTTGTTTCAGATGCAGATGGATTTGGGTCAAGTACAAACAATCCCTTGTCTTTCTTGTCTTTTTTCTTCTTTTTCTTAGGAGTTTTATCTTTCAATGGCATTTTAATTGGGGTAACTGGGTTCTGTTCATGTTCATTTAAACACATAGTTGCATCCAAAACAACCCATTCAGTGGGATTCAGAAGGGTATCCCTTTTTACAGAAATATTTAATTTATCATCAGACTCTACCTCTAATTCCACAAAGGTTTGTAGAAATTTCAAGAATTTGAACTTGTACAATTCTGATGTTGTTTCATCACTGAAACTTATCCTAATGTACTGATCAGTTTCATCAGGATGTGATATTTCCATCATAACTTCACTTTTAAGAGTTGTATTTTCTTCCTTCATTTTGCTGTCAATGTGCTGGACAATTTTCTTATCCATTTGTTCATCTTTCTTTTCATTAATTTCAATTTCAATATTAGTTTCTGGGGTAACTTCTTCACTTTTCTCTTCAACTTCAACTACTTCCATTTCTTTGTCAATGCCAACCTGACTTGATATGTTTGAAACTTTGTCAATACTTGATACTTCAAGATTATCATGCCTAGTTATAGGCAAGTTATCAGTGTCAGTATTTACATTTTGCTCAACTTCTGGAATATTTGCTGGGGTTAATTCAGCAGGAATATTTGAAGTCAATTCAGCACTAGGCTCTACACATGCAGCCTCAGCTTCCAGATCATCTAGTGCATTTACAACAGATTCCACAAAAGCTGACTGAGGTTTGAATATTTTGGCCTCTGGCTCATCAATATCACTGCCTGAATGTTCAGGGGATACATCATTATCACTCACTTCAAAAACAACATTACGTGATGGACTTTTCCGTTTGCCTGGCCTTTGTGGCTTCATTTTCTTTCGCATAACAAAATAAGAAAATGATATATGAATTCTGTTATGGTTTTCTCAATTTTTGTTTCTAAACCTGGTTTCACCAACAGAGTTTTTATCACAGTTTTGGAGTTAACTGACCGATCATGACTGATTCAAACCATCAAATCAAAATAATCAGAGATAATGGTATGATGAAAAAGGACTAATCTCAATCAACGGAGGTAATCAATCTGTGATTCAGGGTTTGAATCATTTAGTTATGGTGATAACATCTGCAGTCAGCCATTACTCGAAAAGCAGTGCCCTAGCTGACACTGACAAGTGACATTTCATGGTTATTATTATAATAAAGTGAGTAAATGCACGTCGGACGTTTTTCTGTGTAAGAATTTATTTGTACCTCGTTTACGTTAGGGTCTCTTGATGGAATTTGACTCTAAAGTGTTTGTGGAACAGTTATCCTGGGGAAAAATTATATATCTACTACTCAAATATGAAGCGTAGCTGTCCTCAAAGCGGGACCAACTTCTATCTCTATAGCTAAGGAAATCGACCAATAGGCGTTGATGCACACGAGAGATCAGTCACAGTCACCCACTGACTGATCTCTGATGCAGACGTAGGGAAAAAATAATACGAAACTTGTCAAACCAATATGGCTGTTTCCATTCTTCACTTTCCGTCCTTATAGATTCAAAAAGTACCTCTCATTTTGGTTCCATTTTTGTTGAGATATCGTATAGGCGATGAGCCATATATAGAAATAGTACATATATGGGATAAACACTAGATTTTTGACATTTGTTGTTTTTTAGGTTATATTGAGGTCATTGGCGTATCATACGGAATTTCCATATGGAATCCCTGATTTAACTACACCAAGATATAGATGAACAATCCTCTAGTTTTAGAGTTTACTACTCCAGCATAATCTTTGCGAGGTTGGGAACATATGAATTGTACTGAAAGCTTTATAAACGTCACCAAAAGATACTGTTCTTAGACTGTATACCAGGGTTGGCTGAATTGACTGATTGAATTCTGATTTCAAGCTGAGCAGCAGTTTATCTAAGAGCTGAATGAGCTGAGCCTTATGATTGAGAAATAATAATAATAATAATAAATGGTTTTCATTTTTCATGGCGGAGTTTAGCTGACGCTATTCTTCCTCTATGTGGGTATCTAAACTACTGTACTTATGTCATGTGTGCTAAATATATTTTCAGAAATCCAACTCGCAGAAGAATTTATGGAGAGACTAATAGCACACTATGTATATAACTTATTCAATCGTAAAATCTTTTTATTCTCTTGAATTTTATAATCATTGACATTCAGAAATCATTTGACAGTCAGTATTTTTTTTTTCAACAATATACAAATTGTATTGGGAACGAAAATAAAAATAAATTTCATTACTAGATTACTAGCTGACTTGGCAAACGTATTTCTAGAATAGTTATTTTTGTATCTAGAGCGCGAAATGCTACTTTGGTGATCGAGATCTCATTTTTTTTACGAGGCGTAGCCGAGTTAAAAAAATAGTCGAGATGACCAAAGTATTTCGCGCTCGAGTTGCAAACAAATTTTTTTCTACAAACGTCAAAAAATATATTTCTGAAGTGAAAATATGCCTAGCTTGATATAGAAAATAGTGTTGAACTGGCTTAAAAAGCCTCCCACTATCCTTCCTCGGTACGCACGATGTTCCACGAGCATAATAGGGATTTTCTTTCGTGCAATCCAAGAGATGAAACAAAGTTATTGGTGAACATTCAGAAATAAATGATTTCGTGAATGTTTGCTCGATTGGGGACCATAAAGTTGAAATATAAATATCTCATATATTTTACATAACAGTGCGCGAAGTAGGTACTTCGCGCACTGTTTTACTTCGCGCATTGTTATGTGCAAGGTATCATGGTAACGTAGGAAACTGAAAAAAAGTGTCACTTCGCAATTTGTTATCAATGCGCGAACCTTGTCATTTTTTGACGTTTGTAGAAAAAATATTCTTTTAGTAAAATATTTACCAGAGCACACTTCATTAATCTCATTTTCTACTTCTTTTTAGTTCGGCTGTCCATAAAAGCATGTTTCTTAAGTTTTTAAAGATACTATTCATTTTATACTCCTTTTCAGCTCGGCAATCTATCTCTTCAGTTTTTTAAACTACTATTCATTCTCTACTTCTTCTAAATTCGACTAAATATCTAGGAACGCATATTTAATTGATTTTTCAAACAAGTATTTATTAAATATTGAATATCCCAATTTTGACAATAAATCATAACGTTCGACCCCGAAAACCCCCAGATACAATTTTGAATAGAATCGGATCTTAATTACAAAACTCTTCCACCATATTAATTGCACATTTTTTGGAATCTATAACAAAAAGTTGACTACCCTATTCCAGAAGTGCACCCCACAAACAATCGGTATCAATTTATCAAATAATTCGCTGTAAAATGTCAACAAAAATATATTCACAAAAATATACAAATTTCACCGATAATTAAGATGATAAAATATTTACATGCCCTAGGCAGGTAAAAGATCAAAGTCATCAGATACATGAACCATTGGAACATGAGCTTCCTCTATCTTGGGCGTAATTTTACGGTCACACAAACTAAGTTCTTTCATCTTCCATTCCCAATCCATCTTCTGGACAGCATGTAGAGACTCTGCTTCATTGTGATGCCTCAACAACATACCTTCTTTTATCTTCTCCCATTTGTCGTCTACGTCTTGCAACCAACTCAAAAATAATCGCCCTGAAAAAAAAAAAAACATAGGTACAAAGTGTTTATTGCACACGTCGTTGTCCAACATGTCATGTGCAATTAAACCTTATTTGCAGGAGTTACATACAATAAGTTTTCTAAGTTCGTGCAAAAACCAAAACATTTTTATCAAAGTGACTAAGTGCAGAAAAATAAAAAGAGTAAATAAATAGCAGAATAATAAATACTTAATTAGCACTATCAATTTGCATTGGAAAAGTTAGGAACTAATATATTAGGAACAATTAACTCAAACATTATTTTTACCATTTATATCAAAAGAAATAGCGTTAATTTACAACCATATATCGCTACCTATGAACAAGACAGGCACAACTCGAAAATGAATAATGTTGAGGAGAGCAATTTTAGACTTTGCGATATTTTAAATAGCACTGTTCATAAGTGAATGATGAGGTATGGATTTGGAATTCGTGTATTTTATGTTGAATGGACGGCAATAGCTCTATTTTTGTCGAGTTTTCGATTTCAGTTATATTTCACTAAAGAAAAAAATTGAAATGACGGTTTTGACCAGAAATAATTTTCGAGGTTGACACCAATATTTTGGTACCAATTCGTTGTTTGACCCATTATTTAACAAAACTTGAAGATTTTCAAAAACGGACAACAGTTGTATATAAAAAATAAGTTTATTAATTCCCCATGAATTCTTCACAAACATGAAACTCACTGTTCCTCAAACGTTTCACAATAATTCTTTTCCGAATTATCGTATTATGTTTTCACTTTCGGCTTTTTTTTATAATTGGTGAATTTTCGTTCGTATCAGGAGTCGTATTTATTGGTTCATGGTCGCTAGAACTGGAAGATGATGATGATGATAATCTAGAGGTATAACTGAGCTCATATTCTGGATCTATGTCTGAACTAGAACTGAACGGATCAGATTCAGTAAATTCTGATCGGCTACTTCTAGTACTGCCGGTCTTGTTACTAAACAAATTTGTATCGACTATGATGTCAACATTCTCCAAAATCTTGCTACATTTCGGTTCACCTTAACTGGAGGCTTGGTTGCAAAGGCCACGATTGCCAACTAGATTTTCGACTATTGATGGTGAAATATTCGAACAGTTATGTTGGTCGGCGTTATCTAATAAATTGCTAGATGATGGAAAATCTCTTGATTCAACTTCTGGAAAATAAAAGAGGTACTTACTCCTATTGCTATCTAAATTTAATTCTCTCAATATATTCAAAATACCTTCATTGTGAAATAGACCAGTATCGCTGAATAGTTTTTTCTCAATGGTTTTGGTTCAGACCTGATATTCTCACTCATATTCTAATTAAAAAGAAGTTTCAATAGTTATAGTAACTCCGTTTTGAACCTCGCGTATATCCAAACTATCTTAACATATTCGCATATTTTGTTAAGCAATAATGACAAATTCAATCATGTGTGACGGTGAAATTTTGCGAATTAGAAAGACTGACACAATTAAGGTTCGACAAAAAATTTCCGAAATTATTTCATAACATCTGAGCAATAATGACACATTTCTTCTTATGACAATGGAAACACGAAAAAATTATTGAAAAGACTGGCACATTTCGCATTTTCACATGAAATATTCACCTGAATTACGATATCCTTATGGAGAAGACTGTTCTACGATGAATTATGACTGTCTTATTCAGAAAAACACAATTTTTCATAGGCACCATTCAAAATGTGACTCTTTTCTGGAGAAGCGATGAGCTCCTTTGTCAACAAAGCACAGAGCAACACAAATTGGGACAGTCTTGCGGGGAGCAAACCTATAATTTTTTATTTGTGCCGTTCGATAGTACCGCCCTCCATAACGAGTTTCATGCAGTTGAATTGCGACGGTTTGTTCAGTGAATCTATACATTATTTGTTGTCATTACTAACGTCATTGAAGGTTGAGAAGTGTCACATTACACACCTCTACTTCACACCCTCTTCCGCCCTCACTCATGTAATAATTCAGGTATGTCCAGAACGAAACATGGATTTATCAATTTTGCTCGAAATATGATGGTTGTAAATAAAATAGTATACAAACCTCGGTAGGGAGTCTCATTCCTGTCTCGAGATTATAGCTAACCTCGACGCTTTGCGTCTCGGTTAACAAACTAATCTCACTACAGGACTGAATCACTTCCCACCTCGGTATGTAATATACTATTTCCACTCGCCGATTCACAGAGCAAGTACAAGTGGCACTGGCTCGGTTCTTCCATAAAGTGCTGTTCTAACACAGATCAGTGGAATAGAAATAGAGAGTTGGTGCGACCTTCTTGTCATCAGAAATGTCAGAATAATTGTTTTGTTGACCAAAAAGTTGAATTATTGAAAGTACATTTGGTTCCGTTGGTCCACATGGAATGGATTCATCTACCTCTTATTGTGCTTTCCCTGTAAACACTGCCAGAAACAGTCTTATATATATATATATGAATGTTCATTGTCAATTATGTTCAATTGAATCATTCGACAATAGTGATGTAGCATTGAAGTGTCGTTCACAAAGTTAGTATTTTTCATCATTACTGAATCAATCTTTAATACCTGCACATCTGAATAGCTTTCTTTAACTTTTAGGTAATTTTGAAACTTCCGTAAACGCTGTTTCGTAACGAAGTACTTCTGTATCTCAATCATCATTTCTTCACCATCGCTTGTATCCGAAGTATCTCTATGATTTTGGAAATTATTGTAATAATAGTGATAAACTTCAATGAGACATTCATAATTATTCAAATTTCAAACATTTTGCCCCTCGTGACTCGAATATTTGAGGTTATGTGTATCGCACCGTCGTACAGCACAGTTCTGAAAACTCGAACTCTGAGCGGGCATCGAGCAAGTTTGAAAGCCAGTGGAAATCATTTCTGGACAAAAGTTCGCTCTTGAAATTCTCAGTGAACCACGAAAAACGCACGGGCCGAAAAAGTTCGAGCTAGTGCGACGAGTGGAAAACGCTATAAATGTACACTTTGAACAATATTCTATATTTATATTTCAACGAATTATTTTTCAATTTTACTTCCTGATTTGCGACCTCTCTGAATGTACAAGTACTTGGTATCTGTTCGTTGTCATACTCTTCAGGCTGAGATATCTGTTTTGCAACCTTGAGTCGTTTTGCAAGTGATTCCTCTATACGCATCCTTCCGCTAATGTCGACGATTTATTTGTTGCGTTTGTCCCTAGACGCCAGTGACATAACATGTCGCGAGTCACAAGTTTACTTCTCGCTTGCGAGAACTCGCCGCACTGACAAGTTTGCTCCATGCGCCGCCACCTATTAGAGTTTTTGAAAGCTGTCAAAGCCGTATGTTAACTTTGTTTTCATTGGTTCACATTTGTTTTTCTATCGCGATTAAAGCGGATCTGTCTTGATTATGACTAAATTATCTCAAGAAGAAGTCTACTGACATTTGATTAGAACAGATACAGGGTGATCAGAATTCTGAATCTTGAACCACCCTGTATTTGTTCCAGTTAAATGTCAGTAGATAGTCAATCAAAAGTTAAGATAGGGACATGTAAGCCGTTTCGCCCAATTATGAATAGTTTGTACACAAAGTTGGAAAATCTCGATTTTGAACACCCTATATCTCTGTAATCATTCCCACTAAACCACAAATGTTATGCATTGATGAAATACAGGGTGTTCCGTTTGGAATATCAAAGTTACTGTTACTTCCTAGTAAAAGCGGCAACGCTGCATCGTTTGAAATATCATGCTAATCATGTCAATTTCCATCAGATTTCAGGATTCATCTGTTGCTTGGTTTGCCTGAACCGTCTAATTAATGCTCATCGTGAAAAACTACCTACCAAATTTCATATCAGTCGGTTGACACTGTTGACAGGAAGTAAGAGAAAATTCAATTGGAAAATGTGTACTGAACAGATTCATCTGTTGCTTGGTTAGCCTGAACCGTCTAATTAATGCTCATCGTGAAAAGCCCTACCTATAAAATTTTATATCAGTCGGTTGACAGGAAGTGAGTAAAAATTCAAATGGAAAATGCGTACTGAATAGATCGACATACACATAAAACCGAGGTGATAAAAATGTAGTTCAAATAAATAGTAGTTAAAAAAACAAAAGTTAACCAAACTAAAAAGAAGTAGAAAATAAAATAATAAAAGTATGTTGATAAATACACAACATAGAAAATATTAGCATCTCCGTAATCTGTATGTTGTGTATCTATCAACAGACTCATTATTTTATTTTCTACTTCTGTTCAGTTTGGTTATCTTTAAAAGGGTGTTCCTTTAGTTTTTTAAACTATTATTTATTTTCTTTTTTTCAGTTCGGCTAACTACAAAAGAGTGATTTTTAGTGTTCTTATATTCTTGGAAGTACCCAATTTTGACGAAAGAATCATAATCTCCGACCTCGTTAACCCCCAGATACCAACTTTTGATAGAATCAGATCATATGATTACAAAACTCGTCCACCATATTGGATCCGCCATCTTTAATTCTCCAATTTCGACGAAAGAATCATAATCACCAACCCCGACAACCCTCAAATATAAATTTTGCGTAAAATCGGATCATAATTACAAAACTCATTCGCCATATTGGATCCTTCACCTTGAATTTTCAAATTTTGACTAAAGAATCATAATTTTCGATCCCAAAAACCTCCAGATACAAATTTTAAAGAGATTCGAATCATAATTACGAAACTCGTCCGCCATATTGGATCCGCCTTCACAAATTTCCAAGTTTTGAGGAGAGAATCACAATCTCCGACCTCAAAAACCCCCAGATATCAATTTTGAATAGAATAGGAACATAATTACGAAACTCGTCCACCATATTGGTTCCGCCATCTTGAATATAAAAACTTTTAGGAAAGAATCATAATCTCAGATCCCGAAAACATGCAGATAAAAATTTTGAATAGATTCGGATTATAATAATAAAATCATACACATATATACATACATACATGCATACAGGTGGAGCTAATAAAACGGTGTTAAAATAGTATATTCTTCAACGAGCACGGAATGATAGTGATTTCCCACGAGAATGAAATTTGCAAGGCGAATGATGCGATCATTCGAGTGGGAAATTAGCATTCCGTGCGAGTTATACACTATAAGTTTTCTGCGGCTGTAACAGATAACTGCGGCATTTTTGATTTCTTCGTCCTGTAGCCATCTGATTTCTTCTCAAGTAATGCTCATCTATTAGACGTTGCTGTCATTGCTTGAAATTTGACATTCCATGAGCGATGAGATTTTTTTGTGAAATAATAACACAATGGAGTCATTGTAATATCAGATACGTAAATAAAATTGATGGCATACAATGTAGCTCATTGATGTATGGAACACAGTAAAACAAGAGCAATGTTGTGTTATAGCCGTAGAAAATAGTATATTGTGCAACAAGTGGGAAAAGTTCAACTTTGCGAAAGTTTGTGGCATGAGCCTGAAGGGCGAGTGATGCAAACGAACGAGTGAGAAAAGTGCTTTTCCCCACATGTTGTACTCTATACTTTTTCTACAACTGCACTTATTCAAAGAATCCGAGTAATGTAACTTATTGGTATTCATTTTATAATGTGGCACAATGCCTCAATAAATATTGTGACCAAGGAGTAGTTTCCTAGTTCCTCAAAGTATTTCAAAAAAGTACACTTTCCGAAAAAGATTTTATTTCTGTATTTTTTTAGATTTCATAAATTTTTCGTAGCAATATGCCAATTCATACTTTTTTCTTGAAATTTCCGGAAACAAATCCAACTTTCGCAGCTTTTTCCATCAACTTGTTTCTGGTGGTGTATTTATCAAAATCGTCACATCTCGGTATATACATCATCTGATGGAAAATGCGATTTCTATCAAAAGCACTAATGACAACTACCATATAGAATTTAAAAAAAACTTCTTCTGACAGTTGTGACAACTATTCAAAGCTGAACAGCAGCCAAGTTTTGGCCGGTTTTTGTTGATTCTCCATGGAAATGTATGTGGTGTTGGCAAAGTGCCGTGAGAAAAAGGATCTTTGCCTACTTACCGTTGTATCGCGATCGAGCATTCCGATCTTTCTCTTCTTGCTCGGGAGTTATAAGATTATAAACTTCCTCATCTCTCAAAATGGTGCACACAGAAAACGGCAGGGACTGATTCGCCAGGGCTCTGGCCGCCCTTCCGTGCACTCTCAGAATTTCTTGCTCCACAGACAAAACAAGTTTCTCTTTTTCTATAACATGCTGAAAAATAAATATTCTCTCTCAATGAGATTCATTAAAAGCGTTGGAATTGGATGACTGAATTCGTCAACCTCACCAGGGTGATTGACTATGGATTTCTCGACTTCAACAGCTGAAATCTCGAAAACGGAAAAAGATATTCGAAATTTGGAAAAAGGTACTTGAATGAGATGTCATTTCCTTCTAGAAAATGTGTTCTCTGCTTGATTTCATCATTTCATATACAGGGTTCGTGAAAAACATTTTTTTTTTTTAAATGGAACCCCCTGTATATTATCGCATATTTCGAAAGAGCTATCTTTCCTGATTTCGAACATATATACTTTTCATATATTCTATCGAAGGCTTGACGAAATATCATCAAAATTAAATATTAATATTTGGTCCAAGTTAGCTATGGTTGAAATAGAATGAGATGATGAATAAGTGAATTGACATTTGGCCAACATTCCAGTGACATAAGTGCGCAAAATTTCTACAATTTTCTCACGATGCCATATCCACTGGAAAAAAGAAGAGATATTTTGGAGTGCTATTTTTCAGTTAATAAAAATCTTGCTGAAACACTTACACTTATACTTACTTAAATTTAATCTTTCTCATTATCATCATAATTGAGTTTGTGTCATGGTCTAATTCTGAAATCCCTATATTTATATTTCTTTAAGGTATGTTGAACAAAATAATAGCTGAAACCAAACTCTCTCTCTCTGCATTTCTTATTGACCGTGAAGGATCCTCAACAAAATACTGGATTACAAGAAGTTCCTCGTCTTCGTTGTCTTGCCTTCTCACTATTCTCTTGATATTCGACAAACTGGAAGTTCTGTCAAATTTAGCAGCCAAATACTTTACATAATTCTTACTTGGTAATCTCCTGCCTGGATAACTCCTCATAAACTTATGAAGTGTTTCAGCAAGATTTTTATTAACTGAAAAATAGCAATCCAAAATATCTCTTCTTTGTTCCAGTGGATATGGCATCGTGAAAAAATTGTCGAAATTTTGCGCACTTATGTCACTGAAATGTTGACCAAATGTCAATTCACTTATTCATCATCTCATTCTATTTCAACCATAGCTAACTTGGACCAAATATTAATATTTAATTTTGCTGATATTTCGTCAAGCACTCGATAGAATATATGAAAAGTATATATTTTCAAAATCAGGAAAGATAGCTCTTTCGAAATATGCGATAATATACAAGGAGTTCCATTTGAAAAAAAAAAAAATTTCACATACGAAATGATAAAATCAAGCAGAAAACCCATTTTCCAGAAGGAAATGACATCTCATTCAAGTAACTTTTTCCAAATTTCAAATATCTTTTTTCGTTTGCGAGATATCAGCTGTTGAAGTCGAGAAATCCATAGTCAATCACCCTGACTTGAACCCCTTGATTGGGTATGGAAGTGTTGAAAAGGAATATTCTCAGATAAATACAAAAATGCGTGAACAATATTCTCGCCTCACTCGTCGTTCACAGAGGGTCCCTTCCAGTTGTTTATATTGAGTTCATTGCTGAAACCATATATGTACTACTCATATATGAAGCACAGCTGTCCTCAAAGCGGGACCAACTTCTGCCTCTATAGGTAACGAAATCGACCAATTGGCGTTGATGCCGACGTAGTGAAAAAATAATACGAAACTTGTCAAACCAATATGGCTGTTTCCATCCTTCAGTTTCTGTCCTTATAGATTCAAAAAGTACCTCTCATTTTGGTCCCATTTTTGTTGAGATATCGTATAGGTGATGCGCCATATATAGAGATAGTAGATATATGGCTGAAACATTACCTGCGTCCTCAGTCTGTATCTCTCCTTCTCCTGCTCGGTGAACAGCTCCTTCATCTGCTGCGGCAAGGTGGGCGGATGGGCGACGTTGGGGGTGGTGGGCGCGGTGCCCGCCAGCACGTACGTGCACCGGTTCATCAGGTAGTCCTTGAAGCCCTGCGGCGGCTTCGGCTGCACAGGGAACAGCCCGCGGCGGCGCTTCGCTATCTGGATCATTCGAAGATGATAGAGATTTGAAGAGTTGCCATGAACGTTAACGTGAATGTAGAAATTGACAGCTACACATACGCATGCGCACTTTTCAATTCTTCACGTTTGCGTTGGTAGTGGGCTTAACCCAACACATAGAAGTGAGCGATAATTTTTTGTCGGTTACTCGACCAAAAAGATATATATAATAATGAAGATGATGGAAAGCCCTAATTTCGAGTGACAACGCGAAGGTTGTGAGTTCGACTCTCACGCTTGGCGGTGGAGTTTTTTCATTTTTCGTTGTCACTCGAAATGAGGGCTTTCCATCATCTTCATTATTATACAATGTATCTTTTCGGTCGAGAAACGGAAAAAAATTATCGCTCACTTCTATGTATAGATTGCTTGCGGACATTTCCGTATACAAGGAAAGACAATGCCAGAGGAAGAACGGGGAAAAATGGAGACTGTATAGTACCATCCTGCCCTGCAATGCTTCAAATAGTGCATGATTTCGAGTGACTCTGGGATTTGGAGGGATTCTGCCGCCTGGTGTACCTTCCTGCCAATTGATCGACAGATGACCCGTTAGCTCAATTGGCAGAGCGTTGGGCATGTAACCCAAAGGTTGTGAGTTCGACTCTCACGGCCGTTGGAGTTTTTTCAGTTTCCGTTGTCACTCGAAATTAGGGCTTTCCATCATCTTCATTATTATTAACCCATTACCTCCCACAGATATTTTTTTCTTATATTAATTAATAGGTATTTTATAATAATTAGTCCTTCCTAGTAACACAAACACTAGGAAAAAAAATTGAAAAAAAATATTTCTGGGAGGGTTTTGAGAGAAATTGGTGTACTCAAATGAGTACGATGGGAGGGTGCATTGGAAAAAACTAAAAATTTTGAATACAACAAAAAAGTGTTTAATATCTTAAAATTGCATCACAATCCAGTTGGGTATTGTCAGAAAAGTGAATGTACCTCTTTATTTCTTGAAATTCATTTCTAGACGTACTGGAAGCAACGATTATTTTTTTATGTTCTGGTTCCCATGAAAAGGGATATCCTGTAATGCTCAGAGAACATCGTGAGAACCAAGGGAAATGAGGTAGGAATTGGTATTCTTAAATTCCTGGAGGTTATATGCCTTATTGTTTACCCGGTGTGTGTAGTTGACTCCGAGAAAAAATGGCTATTTTCATATCTTCCTATTCAGTTCAATCAACTCTCGCGGTCAACTGGTAGACCTCGGTCGACCTCTTTCCCTGATGTATATTAACAGTAGTATTATTCGCAACATTTTCAGTCATTCGAGAAGTATTATATATATACTATCACACTTGCAGAGATATATACTATCACACTTGCAGAGAAGACAACATGTTACTTATCTTCTTCAATGACTGCAGGCACAATTCAAACAAAATATAAGTGGAATATTTCGGAACAAAAAATCACTCTACTCAAATTTTCTCACAGGACCACAGTCAAGTCCTGGATTTGGTCAGCTCACTAGTTTTATCTTTCCATCGTTTATATTATATATAGACGATTAAAAGAATATGTTAAACATCGTTCCTTCATATTCTTCAATCATTATTTTGAAATAATTGTCATACCGATATACAGGGTGTTTCAAAATTCAGTATCAAGATTTTAGGGGCGTATTTTTCAGGTCAAAATAAGACGTTTTTGTCCATAAACATGTGTCCGCAAACGCTTCGTTACCGATCTACAGAGCGTTAAAGTTTCAAGATTTTTTTATTTTTTTCTTCATAGCTCTTTCAATTTTTGAGATATTAAGATCAAATTTGGAATGTAGGTTACGTTCTAGGGCTTACATCATCCAGCATGCCGAGTGATTGTGAGAATCTACAGGGAGATATTTTTTTCAGGGGTCAAGCCCTTTACCCCATAAACTTTTTTGTGGTGCGGGTGAATTCTGAGATACGAAATGAATTCTTTGTTTTGTTTATAAATTTCTTTGTCTCTTGTAATTTTCACGCATCTGCAATCGTTATCGAGAAAAAAGTAAAATCAATTTTTGTGATTCGCTACATTTAATTAAAATTTTCAACGGAACAATGAAAAAGCGAATTAGTGGGCTTTGACTGCTATTTTCATTTTGACGTTTAGGTTTATTTTGAAGCATTTGACATTATTTGAAAGTTGGTGGATGTCTCATCGTGTATTTGTTTAACTTTAACGCTCTGTAGATCGGTAACGAAGCGTTTGCGGACACATGTTTATGAACAAAAACGTCTTATTTTGACCTGAAAAATACGCCCCTAAAATCTTGATACTGAATTTTGAAACACCCTGTATATCTTAAATACTGTCTGTAGGTTAATCGAGGAGGTGGTACATTTATTTTACTTGATTCTTTGGGATTTTCTCCTCATTTCTATAAAATAAAAGTATATTATTTCAATATATTTGTAGAGGGACAAATGCCCCAAAATGTCACTGCGTTCAACGAATTTTTCTATCAGGGAGTCTAAAAGAAGAATCCAGTAGCTTGTCAGTGACAATTCGTTTGAAAAAAATTGTAGGAAAGAAATATAGATTATATATATTGAAAAAATATCGAATTATTACTTATCTTTGGACGTTTCGGGACCGATTCTGCCCCCGTTCTCAACATGTAAATGCAAAATATGTTTCTTTGGAAGTTGTGCTGCTTATAGTTTGACACATTTCAGTGTCATATTGATGTTGGCATATGAATGAGTGATTTTAGTCTACAAAGGAGTTGAAGGATGTTTTCATTAATTGATCTTGAATCTACCATTTTCATGTTCAGTTTTCAGTAGTGAATACCATGTTCTATCTATATCAACTGAACAGGAAGCAATGCTATTGTCTCCGTTTAGAAGAATGCAAGCGGATTCCTTGATTTTTCTATTTTGGTTGTTATCTTCCTTTCCTATGATTTTGATATTATTCCACTCTGCCATATGTTGTCCATCTTCAGTATAAATCGAAGCTAACTGAACAAATCCTTATTATAGCTATAGCTATACCATGACTTACACATTCGGTACTCTCAATCTGATGACTTGTGTTATTATTTGGGAAGTAAATATATTTATGATTTTTTTTGTGTGTTGAGCAAGGCATCACCCACGAGACGAATTGCCCATTTTTGGACAGAATCCAACAGTTTCAGGGTATGTTTGGGTGCTGCACTCAAAATTTGGAAACAGTATTCCAGGACAAGTCGGATCTGTGCCTTATAGATCATAAGCAGCTGAGTGGAAGTGAAATAGCTCCTAGTAAAAAACAGTAAACCAAGTTTTTGGAATGCACTTTTAGCAATTGTTCTCACGTGACATTTTGGGGCAAATCATCTGATTTGTCCTACTACACATATATTGTGATAATACTCATATTTTTATTTTATAGAAACGAGGAGAAAATCCCAAATAATCAAGTAAAATGAAAACTAGAATGTTTCTCTGAAATTGTGAGCTTATGTTCTTCAAGTCGATTATTGGCGTCTCAAAATAATAAAAACCGCCTACCTGATTCCTGATATTCAAGTATAGCTGGTAGCAATTGGTGATGGGCTGGTCGTGCGGGTGCACCGCCTGCGCCTGCGCATCAGCGGCGAGCGCGTCCTGCGGCTCCGAGGGCGGAGCGACAGGTGTGCCGCCGACCGCCCCCGCAGCCCCGCCCACTCCCTCGCCCCTGCTCTGCTTCATCTTGCGCTTGCGCGGATGCAGCTCGACGGGAGGCGCGGCAGCAGATGGGGGCGGCGGCGGCGGGGGCAAAGGGGCAGCGCTTGGCTGGGAAGGCGTCGACGCAGCGGAGGCGGTGGCGGAGGTAGAGGCGATCGGTGGCGGGTCCGGCTCTGCGGTCGACGGTACCTGCGATCACAGATTAACAAACCTTACAGATGAGACACTCCCAAGGAGACTATACACACAAGGACTGCTCAAAACCAATGACAGGCAATTGTTTAAGAAAGAGATGCAAGAAGCTGCATGCCTACTGACGTCACACGCCATGGCATTCAAGATTTCGTTGAAGTGTGTCAAATTAGTCGATTTCACACTTCGTCTGTCAGCATTGGGAATGGGAAACATAAACAAAACATTGCAAAGAAAAGTAATTTTCATATTTCTCGCAAGATAGTTTGTTGAGTGATAATAATTGAATATGTAATTCGAGAAATTCATTTTCGACGAGGATAAAGGTATTCCTTGGTCCTGAAGCGTTCATAAATTGGTTTTCATGATCCCAACTGATGGAATCATCTTTGGAATAATGAACCTTTTGATGATCAAAGGAATCTTCAGAATGTGAGTATACATATAATTAGATAGTATAATCACAGGTATAATAACTGGTCATATTTCAACATTCTCTTAATTCTCAAGATAGTAGGTGATAAGAATAATTGAATTGGTTGCAATGGTTGCTCAGTACTTGATGAGTGAGGATGCAAATTCATATTCAATACTGATCCTGAGAGATAGAGTTGTTCATTGAATAGCTTGTATTGTAGTTGAACTAAAAGTATAAAGTAGCAAACCATTATTAGGTATTTCATCTACATGTTTTTGTGTTTTTTAGAGATTGCATTGAAGTGGATAGTCACAACAGAAGACCCAAGGAGAATGGAAAACAAAAGCCAGAAGAAATCAGGGCAAGAAAGAATGTGAGTTCGAGATTTCAGTAATATGGAGTAAAATAACTGAAAACAAGACATACAGTGTGTCCCAAATTCGATCCTCACCATTGGGATCTCAGTAACTATGAGAGATAGAGAAACGGTTAAATTAGCAAAGTTGTAGCAAATTCAATGTTGAATCATAATCTATCGAGAAATCCGGGCTAGCTTCAGTCATTCTTGAGTTATTTGAGAAAAACTGAAATCTTGTATTTTTGTTTTTCTCGAATATCTCGGAACCTATTGATTTTATGAAAAAATGACTTCAACATTCTCATAGCACTTTTTAGTGCTCTTTTCAATGGTTTTGTCAGTTTTCCGTCAAAATGTCAAATTTCTGAGATATCACCTACAACTTCAATTTTTCTTATGGACGCCATATTGGATTTTCACAGATTTGAAATCAGCATCAAATTTCCTTTCTAGTGATGTATCACACTCACAGTTAAATTCTATTTGGGGTACTGATTTCCAATGTTTGTTTTTATGTCAAGTAGGCTATGAATTCTGTGTTCTATGTTCTTGCATAACTTATCGCATGGAATTGGATGTGTACTATTATAGCAGAAAAAAATTTAATAACAGTTGAATAATACAAATACTGAAAAAAAAATCAATTGAACTGCTCGAAATGGCCCCCATTTTGTTCTCGATACATTTTAATATTCGCGAGCGAACATGATTCGCTGCTTTACTCAGATGAACTCTGTTGATGTTCTAGCAGAAAAAAATTTAATAACAGTTGAATAATACAAATACTGAAAAAAAAATCAATTGAACTGCTCGAAATGGCCCCCATTTTGTTCTCGATACATTTTAATATTCGCGAGCGAACATGATTCGCTGCTTTACTCAGATGAACTCTGTTGATGTTCTGGAATGTGTCCATCACCCTATCTCGTAGATCATCAATATCTTGAATCGGATTTTCATAAATTTTATTTTTGGCGTAGCCCCACAGGTAAAAATCGAGAGGCGTACAGTCAGGCGACCTTGGAGGCCATCTCACAGGTCCATGGGTAGTAATTAATTTAGCACCAAATTGATTCTCGAGATATTCCCTAACCAATCGCGTATTGTGCGGTGGGGCACCATCTTGCTGAAACCACATTAACTCATATTCAGCAAGTGGTATCTCGTCTATAAAATTCGAAATTTCATTTCTCAATAGCTCTAAATAACGTGGACCATTCAAGTTATAATCGTAGATTATTGGACCTAGTAGTCTACTGCCTGAAAAAAATACACAATGAGAAACAGTTATTTATGGACCAAAATTCTAGTAAGGTACCAAATATCCCACACCAAACATTGAAACCAAATTTGTTCTGCCACTTTGATTCTCTGATGACATGCGGATTATTTTGTGCCCAGTAATGATGATTATGTTTATTGTAAATTCCATTATTATGAAATCTCGTTTCATCGGTCCAGCAGATATTCAATGGAAAGTTCTCGATTCTTTCACACTGGTTATGAAACCAGTGACAAAACTCGAGACGACGTTCATTATCACCAGGTCTTAACCTTTGTACTGGTTTGAAAGGGTGGTACTTATCATTCACTAAATGTCTGTGGATTGTTGTTTTCGGCACAAGAGTTCTCCGACTAAGCTCTCGAATTGAAATGGTAGGAGTTTGATTGATGATTCCTTCGATATTTGCAATATCTTGTTCATCCAAGCGCAAACCATACCTTGGCCTAGGTGCAATGAAACTTCCATGCTCTTGCAAATTTCTTTGTAATGTTAGAAAAATAGAAGGATGCGGTTGTTGTCTTTCTGGATATAAATGGAAGTATTGTCTAGCTGTTTCTCTGTTATTTCGATTATTTCTGATATAAAAATTGTACATATCAAATTTTTCGAGATTTGTGAACGGCATTGTTTGCCCCGAAATAATTGACTTGTATTTTTTCTTGACGTTTACAGAAATGTCACTTGGCTCACCTTTGCTCCAAGCCTACTATATGAAAGTTGTGCCAGAACACATTATCGTTAATGTTTATAGAGAGCTTAGCGCATAGCCTACTGGACATAAAAACAAACATTGGAAATCAGTACCCCAAATAAAATAAAACTGTAAGTGTGATACATCACTAGAAAGGAAATTTGATGCTGATTTCAAATCTGTGAAAATCCAATATGGCGTCCATGAGAAAAATTGAAGTTGTAGGTGATATCTCAGAAATTTGACATTTTGACGGAAAACTGACAAAACCATTGAAAAGAGCACTAAAAAGTGCTATGAGAATGTTGAAGTCATTTTTTCATAAAATCAATAGGTTCCGAGATATTCGAGAAAAACAAAAATACAAGATTTCAGTTTTTCTCAAATAACTCAAGAATGACTACAACTTTGCTAATTTAACCGTTTCTCTATCTCTCATAGTTACTGAGATCCCAATGGTGAGGATCGAATTTGGGACACACTGTATAGAAGAAAATTATACATTTATTTTAAGTTACATCTGTATGTCCCTGTCATATACCTAACTGCAAAGGCTATTAACATTTGTAACTCAGATTTTTTTGTTTTGTTATTATACAGGTCTGTATTTTCAATGTCCTTCCACTATTGGCATTTCGAAAATAGTAAGTGATAAGAAAGTTGGTTGAATTACACAAATCCAAGCAAATTTGCTACAGGGAAGAAAGTTTCTTCTTTACATTCCATATTTCTTCAAAAGGAGTCATGGTCGGTACATTTTGGTTTTCCTTATATATTTTTAAAATGGTTCATATATCTGATTTTAAATCATTTCATTCTTCACATACAACTTCTCTTCAATTCAACCAACTTCCTATCATTTACCGTTTTCAAAATGCAAATAGTGCCAGAACAAAAAAATACAGATGATAAGGGGCAATTCATGATCTCAATATTATATGTATAGGCCAAATTTCAGAAAATAGTAATATTTACGTACACTGAGGGAAATTGTGCTATTAGAGTTTTTGCTCAGATATATTTCTTGCTACCATTACAAGAAATCTTATCACCGTTATATATTTTCTAATAGAAGCAAAACCTTGAAATCCTATGAAAGCAATAACGACTTTGTTGAAAGTGAATTTCCTGCCACAGGAAGAAATACTGCTGTCGCTATCAGGCAGCCACTCTGGGACAGCATGATTTTTTTATAATTGTCTAGCTGAACTACTACTAGTGAGTTATATGCTTGTGGCTGCGAGGTTCATCGCATAGAACTGCACTCACTACCAATAATACAACTATCAGTCTGCCACGAAAATAATATTTGACGAACCTACTTGGGGTTATTCACCGCATACCTATCGTTATTCGATATTTTGCTGATTTGTCCCCCTCTATATAAGCATTTGTCATACATCTTGCTCGATCAATCATTCACAGTTGGGCTCTTGATGCAAACCCATGTTACGAATACTTCCCCTCTTGAATTCAATTCATTATTTAAAATCTGAATCTGAATACGAATATAAAATGGAAACATTTCCAAACAAATAAAAAAATCTTCTGTGTCCCTTCCAGTTCTTTCGTAGATCTGAGTGCTTTAGTTATTACCAGGATTGATGGAATGATAAAGGTGAGTTTTTTTTATGGTATTTCGACTGGAATTCAAATATTTTACAAACATTTCCTTCTTTTTGGTACCTTGAAACTTTAAAATTGTCAAATATGTTCCAGAGCTTCTCCATAGAATGTGGTCTGAAAACTTATTGAAAGCAAAAATGTACATGTTATGAAATTATTTCAATGATTTTACTGGTAACATTTTGTTCTGTAATAACCTATCTGTAATAACTTGCCTAGTTCTCGAAATACAATGGTTTCAGGAAGTTTAAGAAAAAATATGTTTATATCAATTACTCAAAAACCTTTTGTTTTTCCTGAGGCTGCATGAAGAATCAATTGATCTATTGAATTTCAATGATCATTGTTCCGAAATTTTCTTTAGGAATCAATAAATTGCTATTCATACCAAACATCAGGGAGGAAATTATTTGAAGTGAAATTGGATATCAGTCAAAATTTCATCTTTCTTGTTGACAACAATCCTGGAAAATAACTAAATAACTACAGTAAGAAGGTCATGCAACTATCTATATGATCACCCACCAAGAGTAGCAAAGTTCCCTACCTACGATTATAACATTGCCCGACTCCCATTATTAGATACATTATTAGATACTACCTACTACAGAAACATCGTCTAATTTCAATATACAGATGCACTAGCTAGTGGCAGCAAGGTTCTATATCTAATAATCGCAGGTGGGGTATAATCAGCAAAGTCGACTTTATATTCACAGGTGATAACTCGCTTGTCCCCTATGCTATTGAAGTTTCTTGCTGGGGTTATTCGATTTCTGAATATGGTTAATAGGAATGTTCCTCAGTGTAACAAGTCCGAAAAATACTGTTTTTTTGGACGAGTACACAAAATTCTAAGCCGAGCCATAGGTGAGACCTGGAAGTCTGCGAGTCTAAAAAAACTGTTCTAGGACGTGGTGCGTACACAATTTTTTCGGCAACTATGTAGAATAACATATCAATGAGACACATTTTCATATTATATTTCTTTGTAGAATACAATTTCTTCTTTATTGATTCTCATTTGTATGATGTGAATATAAGTGTTATAGGTCAACGAAAGAATGTAATGTACACTTTGACAAAAAACTGTAGCAGTGAAATTAGGGGTGGGCGATAGTGATTTTGGATTATCGATAATCACAACATATCGATATTATCGGTTCATCGATATTATCTTTGTAATAATTATGCAACAAGTTATTGATGTATAATCTGAATATTGTGAAGTTTTTATAGTATCACTAAAAATCACTTAAAATTTCACTCATTTCATCATTACATAAAATTGTTGTAATACATGATGTGAATAATCGTTCAAGGAACAAAGTCTATATTCAACTATGCAGAACAAATATTTTGAGCCATACACCAAATATCTTAGGTCCTAGAATATTCAATAACTTACCTGAATATTGGGAAACGAAAAAAAATATCTTTATTCAAAAAATGCTTGAAATCATTCCTCATAGGGGTTAAGTTGAGTAGGAATTGACTGGATTCGTCTGGTCATGACTAGACTTCGCCCATTTGCCCTCAGTATTATTGTTTTTTTTTGTGAGGACAAATAAAGAAAAATTATTATTATTATTATTATTATAGAAAAATATTTCTACTCGCTTTACGAATATTTTCATGTTCATAATTATTGACCATCCAACTACCAAATGAAAATTGTACATATTATCATAATGTTTCTCTTTTTTATAAAATGTTGGCCTATTATATTATGTAAACTGTCATTTATCTAGTTTATAGCTTTATATTTTTGTAACAACGACTCAACCTAAAATACCATCCAGTGACTCCACCCCTGATAAGTCTGTAGATTCATTTCTTAACGAAACTGAACACCATGGGTCCGCAGAAGTGGGTGTAAATACCGCAACACTGATATTTTATGTTTTATGTTTCATGATAACTAACCTCATCAGTACTGTTACTGGCTGCATCTTTCTTCTCATCGCCCTTGTTGGAAACCAACCCCGACTCGGAATTACCCGCTGCCGTCGAAGAGCTGTCTTTTTCGCTATTAGCATCGCTGTTGCTCGAACTGGCGACGACGTAAGGTAGAGCTTGGTGGGCTCTCTGAGAGCTGCTCTTTCCGTTCCTGCCTGCGCCGTTGTCCTGTTCGCTGTTACTCGTTTGAGGGATGACTATTTTTAATGGAGGTACCTGAAGGGATTAATAGTTTTTTTCTTGGGTTTCTTGGACAGCTCAATTTTACATATCATATTAGTTACTCATTATACAAGAGAAAAACGATTTCTTATCAATTTCCGAACAAGATCAAACTATCACTAACTATGCAGATGATACTACATTGTTATTTGCCGCCTCAAATTACCTACACAAATAAAACTGAAAGAAAACTTCCAACTAGTGAAGAAGCCCATACTTAAATTCTTATCTAATCTGGAACCCTATTCCATGAATTAATATTTTGAGCAGTGCCTGGATAGTGCAGCAGGTTCAGACTGCTTAAATTTTGCAATAAATTATTATTATTATTATCATTATGAAAAGTAGTTTTTTGTCTCCCTCCACTACGCGTCGGTAGACAACACAATCTGGAGCAAAAATCTAATATTTTTCTCGTGTATAATACACTATATTTTTCTGTGACAGATAAAAGGACGAATGAATATTGAGAAGATAATACATTATAATAAAATCAGAAAATTATCGACGTGAAACACCAAACAAGAACAGACGACCGACCTTGTTTCTGTATTGCTTGAAAAGCATGCGGGTTTTCGGATGCCCAATGATGCGAGTTCCGTCTATTGAACATACCACTGGTAGTGAAACAACCCTCGTCTGTCCAAATGATATCGTCAAAATAGCTTTGTCTCATATTTAATCTTTCAGATATGACAGGACAAAATTCAATACGCTTCTCATTATCATCATAATTGAGTTTGTGGCATGGTCTAATTCTGAAATCCCTAAATTTATATTTCTTTAAGGTATGTTGAACAAAATAATAGCTGAAACCAAACTCTCTCACTGCATTTCTTATTGAATGTGAAGGATCCTCAACAAAATACTGGATTACAAGAAGTTCCTTGTCTTCGTTGTCTTGCCTTCTCACTATTCTCTTGATATTCGACAAACTGAAAGTTCTGTCAAATTTAGCAGCCAAATACTTTACATACTTAATTCTTACTTGGTAATCTCCTGCCTGGATAACTCCTCATATACTTACGAAGTGTTTCAGCAAGATTTTTATTAACTGAAAAATAACACTCCAAAATATCTCTTCTTTGTTCCAGTGGATATAGCATCGTGAAAAAATTCTCGAAATTTTGCGCACTTATGTCACTGGAATGTTGACCAAATGTCAATTCACTTATTCATCATCTCATTCTATTTCAACTATAGGTAACTTGGACCAAATATTAATATTTAATTTGTTGATATTTCGTCAAGCCCTCGATAGAATATATGAAAAGTATATATTTTCAAAATCAGGAAAGATAGCTCTTTCGAAATATGCGATAATATACAGGGGGTTCCATTTAAAAAAAAAATTTCTAGAAGGAAATGACATCTCATTCAAGTACCTTTTTCCAAATTTCAAATATCTTTTTTCGTTTTCGATATATCAGCTGTTGAAGTCGAGAAATCCATAGTCAAAAACCCTGTACAAAAATGACCGTTTATAAAAATACAACATCGACAAGTGATTCGTTCTGATGCTACGATGCTAATTACTAAATCTGCTTCAATCTTGAATCACACGATGATTACGAATACCGATGAGTCGTCGAGGCCGCTTGTGATAAGGCATTCCTTAGGCGTTCTTCTCATTTACGGGGTGATTTGAACACCGTCGCTAACAGTATATTGAAAATATAAAATGCTACTCATTTGGAAGTCTAAGGATGAGTAAAATTTTATATAGTCTGTCTGTCATTCCACTGGTCACTTTCTTCGAAAATATTTTCAAAGCTATCGATGCTGATGCTCGTAGGTACAAGCTTTCAAGCACCTGGTCGGCAAAAATCATGTTTTCTCAACGATTTTCAAACTGGAAAGTACCTTTTTGCAATACTAATCTGGTGAATTCTTCTTGACAAGACTAGTTCGGTAAAATAATTATGTAGTAATAAAAGTCTTGGTAATAAACAAATTGTGCTGTGGGTTTTATACACAGCTGGTCATGCACAAATTCGAATAACAGTTAAAAATAATGATAATGGGCCCTTATAAAATATGAACCCGACCCTTGAATGATCATTTCATAAGAATTTTAAAAATAATTGTTATACATTTTATAAAAACACAATTTTAAATTAACAGTAAGTTTTCCGATTCTGAACTTCCTTTACATATCTATTTAACTGTTTGTATTCCAGATCATGGAGCAGTTGCATTTGTTTGCTCTGTTATTGTCCACGTTATTCGAATTTCAACTTTTTTCACTTCCATGTAAGTAATCAATCATTGCATTTATATCCTAAGTCAATACCGGTTTTTTCTAGAACTTTGAACTATTTTATCGGCTGATGATGGGCTTATATAAGCCCGAAACATGTACCATTGATGATCTTTGATCATTTCAATAAAAGTTGTGGAGATGACTTTGGGTTTTTCATCTATGAATGATATTATAGCTTTAATGCCCAAATAAGATGGTGAATAGGTAGATAGTTATTGCAAAAACTTGGTACTTTCCAAAACCTACATTGTATGATCATAAGATTATTTTACCGAACTAGCTCCGTCAAGGAAAATTAACCGGACTGGTAGTGTGAAGAAGAAGTTAAAAGGGCATTGTACCCCTCCTGACGGTCTTAGAATGTTGTAAGTGAGGCGATTCAAAGAAGGAGATAGGAAGTACATTTTCCACGCGGTACATCAATTTGTCGAACGCCCGTTCCATCGTCTGTGTATAGCAAGCCTTCCGTTTGAGATTCGATCTCACTCCATGCGGCCGAATTCCCGATCGAAATCGAATTCTAGAAAACATCGGGAGGGTTCGACCAGCAATTAAAAAATCTTCCAGGCGTTCAATTCGGAAACGAATCGTTAATAAACATTTCGCACCCTCATAGGATGGTTGTCATCCATGAATTGAAGCCACGTGATTTTGAAGCCAGGCAATTTAATAGTGACTATTTCACTCATCACATAATCTCGAAAACATTAGCTGTCTTTCAATTCTGATTGGTCTATTAGCGTTGATGTTTTCAACGATGTAACCATGGATAGCGAAGCAAAGTCTGTCAGTTTGGCATAAAATAATTATGGCTCTACGTGTCAAAATGAATCACTCATATATAATTAATGCTATTTATGCTTTCTGAATGTGAAATAGTAGCAAAATATCACTCTGTTCTGAATATCTTCTCATAATTCTGTCTTTCATTGTTAACTCAATTGTATTGCCGTCCCCTGTAGGTACATCTGAAGATGCGTTTTATTGGCAAGATTCTTCCACCGGAATGACAATTCTTGTCGTTTTATTCCGCCTTCTCATACGGAATGACAAACAGGATGACGATTGTGGTGGGAGTGTATGAAATGACGGTATTTCAGATACTCTAACCTCAAAACCTGACTTGAAAATTGACTAAAAGTGAACTTTAGTGAATATTTTGGAATTGTTCGGAATTCTACCCAGAATACTTTCAAACACTTCCGGACTCCTGAAATAAATTTTGAATGTTGATAAATCCATTTGCAGTATTACTTCTTCATAATAATTTTGAATTTTTGATATGAAATTGCTAGAAAATCTGAAAGTATCAATATAAATTTAGTCAATTATTCCTGTAGATAACATCAAAATACTCACATCACAAGTATAAAATTCCTTCAAGTATCAATGGGTCAATTTCATAGATAAATATCAATGAATGTTGCCCCCTAACCAACGCACCTACTTACTGAGGAGGATAACAAGAAAGCGGGAACATCAATTTTAAATTATACTTATAATTATGTACGGATCAACAGCATGATCCCGGAATTATATTATTATTATATAACCTGAAAAAGATCAGCTGCATGTCACAACTCTCAAAATGAATCATGTCGTTTTATTGGTAGTCAATTCTACTGCCACTAATGGGAAACCAAAAAAACGCTCCTTAAAATCTCTGGTGTTACAATGGTCGCGTTTTTTGTGATTCTCTGGTTTAGGAATTGTGTAGGAACGAATAAAACGGCAAAGAATGGAGAATTACATTAATGTGATGACAACCGTGTGACAAACAGATGCAGTCAAACTGACTTAATCAACAATAAAAAACATCAAAGTTTAGGTTATATGAATTTTTGGATCTTTGGATTGAACCCATGAATTGATAAAACATTGAATAATAATTTTGGTATACAGGGTGTTTCATAATTGAATGTCAATATTCGAGGAGGCGATTCTTGGGCCCATTCTAAGAAGAAAGTTTCATATGAACATATGACCTAAACATCCCAACTTTTGAGATACAGGGTGGTAAAATTCTCGAAAATTAATATAGCCTACTACAATGAGAAGTGATAATTCCAAAATACCAAATATGAATACGAAGTTCATAAACTATGAATTGTATTTCTGAAATTTGATCTAAGAAATAAAATCTAGTTCTCTGCATTGTGATATTGTCATATTAACGATATTGCTATAATCATGTAGTAAAAAGCTTGTTATATTTTTAAGCGAAAACCGTGCATCAGATTGAAAAAATTGTAGTGATCAAATTTGCTTAGAAATGTTTGGGAATTTCAGGAATGATTTCAATTTGGAGATTAATCAGTGGCGTACCATTAATGTCTGCCAAAATAGGTATGTGAAATTCCATACGAACGCCACTGGTGGCAACAACAAAAAATGTGGTACGCTTACTGATGCATCTTGATACATAGTACATGTATGCCAAATTTCATCAGAATATCTGAAGTGGTATTACAGATATTAATAAAAAACTATTAATTTTTGAGAACTTTACCACCCTGTATCTCAAAAGTTAGGATGTTTAGGTCATACGTTCATATGAAACTTTCTTCTTAGAATGGGCCCAAAAATCGCCTCCCCAAATATTGACATTCAATTATGAAACACCCTGTATACGTGCGGGCTGTGGGGTAAGTACGTGGAAATAGTACGTGGGAATAGTAATGGAAAGCATTGAAACTTATATTTGTCGGAGAAGATAATACCTAGCGACATCCTTCATGAAATTATGGATTCGTAGGACAACATAATTAAATCCAGGATGATGAATGTATTACACTGACCTCGTTTAGAATATGTAACGAAGAAGTCCTAAAAATTGAAAGCTTTTATGAGATTGTTATACGAAGATTCAATACAAAGACCATTCAGAGCCATTTCAGAATGACTCCTGAATTCTCCTCTTTTGTTGGCTATCATCTGTTCCATCAGTAGAAGTACCTACCTATCCCCTATATCATGCTTATTCCGTATCTACTATGTTTTCTCAAAGTTCTTGATTACAACAAAATTAATATGATGTATGTCAAATACCCTTATTTGTCGAACATTCTAAACATTCCACCACGCATTCGATGTTCTGGCACCATGATAAGAAATATTCAATAACACGGTGATTCTGTCCCACTGGTGACACTAACAACATCAATAAAACGCAACTAATAATTGTCCCAGGACCCTGGAAGCCCTCAAAAACAACATTCATGACCATATTTAGTGCTTGGGTCGCCATTATGGTGATAGTTTGTTCAAAACCGTCCTAATTTGAATTACCATGTTAATTATTCGAGACAAAATAGCTCCCCAACTTGTATTCTCCATCCTAAAAATCATCCAGAAAGCATTGAACATTGACAGGTGGAGAAACTATAAAAAAAAAATCACGGCTTTTTATTGAGACGTTCGAGAGGGGAAGGATTTACCTTCAAATCTGTTTTTCCGTCTTCGCTGTCTGCATCTGTGGAGGATGGTTTCGGGCTGGAGCAAGGACTTTTCTTGTCGTTGCCACCTTTGGTTGAATTGGAGGCACCAGCCTTGTTTTGGCTTCCCGCAGACTGCTTACTGTTCTGTCCTTTAGTTTGACCTTCATTGGAATGAATTCGTTGATCTGTTTACGTTTTAGATGAACATGGGAATTGAAAGGAATTGCGATGCGAAATGGGCCTTTCCCAGTTTGAAATATGGATTTCTCCGTGCAACACAGGTGTCTCAAGTTCAAATAGCAGGATTTTTAACAATCGAATGTTATCGAAATAAATACATTAAATTCGAACCCTGAGAGCGCCCAAGGCTCGAAAACATAGTGATCTCATTTAATTTGATGCAAGATTCCTTTTTTCACCAAACATTCTACTCCACAGCCTCATGGTGGAGAAGAAGCGCGTAGAACGAAGCGACGTTGCAGTTCATAAAAATGGTGAGATAATAAAGTTTGACAGTGGCTAAAAACTGAAAATTTAGATCTAAGATGAATCCCGTTGAATAAGTTTGAATTGGATCTCATCACTGATATTCAGAAGAGGCATGTCGAGAACGGTAACAAATCACGGAAATTAGAAAGACTACTATACAACTATTAAAAAGTTTGGGGAAATATTGAAACTATTCAACAGCCTTATTGAGACAATGCATTGTGTAGTATAATTATGTGATAACAGGTGAATAACCATTACGGAATTGTAACAACCAATCTCTACATTAGTAGAAATCAACATTTATATCTACTAAATTTATTGATGGCCTAACCTTGATTCTCTGACCATTATTCCACACAGTTATCAGCACCATTTCTTTCATCGATTTGTATTTGTTGGCGTCTAGAATAGTCAGTGCCGGATTTAGGGGGGGCTATGGGACTATCAGCCCCCGGCGGTTAATTTTGAGAGGTGGTATAAAAAAAAAGAAAAATGGCAAGCAGCAATATACTCGTCACCGACGAGGCGACAAGTATATCATATTGCTTCTTGCCTTTTATATGCCGCCTCTCAACTCTTCGCCATTTGAAGCAAACGCGCAATTCACCCTTCTTCAGAAATAACAGAATACTCAGTTTACCATGCATATACATCCTCAGCTTGATCACTTATATATAAAAAAATGAAGTTCCAATTATAACTAATGGTGAACAACACATATACCCTACAAGAAATGGAAACCTACTGGAAATGATCAAGCACAAAACGAAACTTATCGAAAAGTCACCCATGTATATAGGGTCAAAGTTCTTCAATTTTCTGCCCATTGAGATCAAGTCGCTGCCAAATGCGAATAAAGTGGAACAGAAAACGAAAGAATTTCTTAGCTGTCAAGGTTTCTACTCGTGTGACGACTTCATCAACTTCAAACCATGTACACAATCCTCAGAATTTGAATCAATGTATTCCTAGTTCCATATATTTATATGTATATTTTTATTTCAGTTTAGTAATGTAAATGTCTGTACTCGCCTGTTATACATACTTTGTTTTGTAATATTCATGAATGTCTATATTTACCACTATACATGTGATCATTTTGTAAATTGACTTTTCCTATATCATTGTATAATGGTCTTTTGGTGAATAAACTATTCTATTCTATTTTATAATTAGCGACCACCGGCAGTCGGCACCGCATCAAAAGGACTAGATTGGAATCTTCGATCATACAGGGAGTTTGTTGTTCGGATGGTGGTATACTATATTCTACTCAGTAGGGGTGATTTTGTGGTTCGTCTAATTCAATAACAAATTACAACACCAGAATACAGTAGTCGATAGGTTGTCGTTAGAAAAAATGAGTAAAAAAGGAAGTGGTGCATTCTGGAAACGGCAGAAGATGAATAAACAAATGAAGTTGGATGATGTTGTCAAGAAAGGCACTAAAATACATTCATTTTTTCTCAGTTCAAATGAGATAGAATTAGAACCGACAGAACCGTATCCGGGACTCCAAGTTCTGAAGAAGGGAAACTTTTACAGTTTTATATTTTTTTACATTTGGTGACCGGATACTTTGAATTTTGAATTATTTGGCGGAGGCGCGGCGGCATAGTAATAGTTAGCCCCCCGCGTAAATGAGTATAAATCCGGCACTGAGAAAAGATGACAAATACTTTTTTGTGAGTCATGAATAAATATGTCGTCAGAGGTCGTCACCGTAGTCCACTCGAGAACTAACCTGTATTCCTCTGTGTAGCGGTCTTCCCCTCTTTTGCGTTCTCCTCCTTACGTTTCTTCCTTCGACTTTCCTCCTCAGCACCGCCTGCAAAACAGTTTTACACGTGTTTGCTATTGATCAGTTTACCACTCGGTTTTCCATTATGATAAAGCAAGTGTTTTAAATAGTGATACAAGTATGACATCATGTCATCGTCTCTCTGATTCTTCAAATATCCCAAATAACGAGCCCTTTGAGCTAAATTCACGATTAATCGTGGTGTTGAGTAGAGTTCCTAAATGTACTTGACACTGCAGTTTTGAAGTTCTTTGTATATTAGAATATGCACACTAGACAAGCAGTGACAATCAAACATAACCACAAACGATTTTGAAGCAAATTATATGTTTTGCCAGACAAGGAAAAGAATATATTATATAAAGAATATACTGGGAAGAGTACATCCATATATCTTTCTCTGTCTTTGATTTTTGTATGAGAGTGCATAGCGTCTCCTCGAGTGAGTAAAAGGGTATGATGAAGTGATTAGAAAATTATTTCTTTTCGAAATATTGAATGATAAGGCTGAAGGACCTCAATGGAGGTCGATATCAAGTTGGTATGTACCGGGTGAACAACTAAGAACGGCCATATCTCAGCAACGAATAATGATACAAGTTTGAGATAGAATAAATCTAATGCTATGCATATCATAACACGATGTAATAGGGAAACTAAATCTCAACAGACCAACGAAAACCGCAACATGATACCTTTTCGCCAACGGAAGATATTAACTATCAAAGTTGGAAGAATGATAGATATGCCAGCCGTTCTTAGTTTTTCAACTGGTACATATATACCAAAATACATATAAGGGGTATTCCCGGTCCTCGTATAATGCTTCGTATTATCGTATTTTCGTATCGTCGTATTCAGCAAACTAATCTGATTGGTCGATTAGGATACGCGGTCCTTCGTAACTTTACACTACCATTTTCTTGTGTAAAAGATTACAAAATTGCCGTTCTGACGAAACTGTTCTGACAGAATTTGTCCCGCCTGAGCATAAAGCACAATATAAATACCTCTGATTATTGTAACTAATCTCTGGTATTGAGCATTTTGATTTGGATAAAGGTATTTCAAAAATGGCAAGAATAAGAACAAAAACTATGTGTCAATCTTGGAGAAGGACTTGAATTATTGAAATTGACAGGACAGATGATGAATAAGAATTTTTCAATTTCGCACTGGAAGCTTCGGAATAAGCTGACAGTTTACATTGCTATCCATGGGTCGTTCCCGTGTTTGAGGTTTCGTAACAATACGTAGGCCATTTTCGTAAATATACGAAGTCAGATACGAGGGCTCCGGAATACCCCTATACTTTTCCTATGAAATAAGTCTCTTATATGTATACGTTCAGTTGAATATTTTTTTATCCCACAAAAGTTCAGAATGGGGTAAAAACTGATCAATTTCAACCAATGAAACATACTTTTATTTCGTATGGAACATTTTCATAAGAGTGGTAGGTAATAAGTCATTAATAAATGAACAAATGATATGGCAACAATAACAGCTGATTTCAGTTAGGATGAATAATATAGGTTCTCCAAGACATACGGAAGTAGGTATAAATGGACTTCGGCGCTCGACTGACTATAGATCGCCGTTCACATTGCTAAAGGGGATTGTTGGTTTGAACCCGGCCATCGAAAGATCATTCTCAAGTCTTTTTCTTTCAAAATATGTTCGAAATGAATTTCATTATCTGCAAGTTCTTCGTTTTTTGTTGGTTCTAAATTGGAATAAGGTTCTTTTCGATACTCGCTCGGTTTATAAATTGTGGGTTCGGCTCTTTCTCTCAATACGATCCCATTCTTCAATATCAAATCTTCCGTTTTGAAGTGTACCTGATGATAATTCGTTGAAAAATGTTCTATATCCTACCAATAAATTTGAATACCTCGCGAATTTTGTGGCCTGACCCTACATTCCATGCCGGCCGCATCATATTCTGTTTCCATTTTTGGAAAATTACGTTATCCAATGGAAATTCGAAGTGAATTGATTTCCCATGTTCTCACAGTTGGAAACTGCACAAACTTGCATCTTCCTCCTAATTCTCTCAATTTGTCAAACCTTTAATATTTATGTCATGTACGTCCGTGTACTGTCAGTTCCCGCTTTTTCCATCAATTTATTTGTGGTTATGTCTGATTGTCAGTGCTTGTCCGTACTCTAATATACAAAAGACGTCAAAACAGCAGTGTCGAGTACATTTAGGAACTCTAGTGTTGAGTAATTTCTTGTATGTTTTCTTATAAAATTCATTATACGCACTATAATCGGCACTGATACTACTCGTGCATACTAAACCGGACGATGCCCACGTCCACAGAACATTGCTTACATTTACTCTAATCCTATTTTGAAATTATTTGAGTGTTTCTTTTTTATGAAATTATTTATTTCCACCAGTTCTAACCCGTTAAATGGATGGCTAACCTTTAAAAATACCCGATATTATAAATAGCATTTTTCTATCATATAAACCCATGATGACGTGAAATTTCCCTAGCGAATAAATTTCCCTAGCGAATAAATTTCCCTAGCGAATACCACTCGACAACAAATTATATCGGACATAATTTGACCCATAGTGGTACTGAAAATTTCACCTTTCACTCCTGATATATCTTGAAGAATTCATTGTGAGTTTCAATGAGATTTTCATTAAATTTCTCTCTAATTTCATTTTCCTCTGAAAATTTCTGAACAATTGTCGTTCCTAATAAAAACCTAGCGGGCGGGGTGTAATATTGTTGTAATATTGTGTGCCTGTCGGTGACGCTTGTTCATTGAAAAATGTCAAAATGTGTTTCAATATTTGAATATTTGTCGATATGGACAATTTCAGGTTGAAGTTGTGAGCTTCTATTCACCAGGAATAAATAGGGTTTTTTTTTGCTGTTTCAACTTCAAACGGACCGACGACGCGCGGCGTATGTTTTTTCTGGAGCTGTTTTTTTTCTTCAAAACACAGGCAATAATATACTTCGCCTATTGGGTTTTTCGTGAATCGTTTTCGATACACTAGGAACTTTTTCTGAATATCAAAATATACAGGTTGTCCTATTTGAAAATCAAAAGTTGGGGTTGCTTCTGGTTTAAGCAGAAGTGATATAATAATTTTTGAAGTGATAACTTCTTATGGGATGGTAAACCACTTCGTAACGTAGGCAGCAGTCGGTAGCCGTATTTCCGACAGACGCTTCCCCCCCTCTCCCTCAGTGTTTAGTGAGCGATAGACACAAAATATGAGAGCAATTCATCAGAATGTACAGGGTCATTCCATATATTTAAACAGCTTCTACAGGGTTCATCATAGAAGAAAGAAGAAAAATCAAATATAAAATATGTAGGATTTGTTCTGAAATTCCAAAAAATGTTACGAGGTGAAACAAATGAATATCGTTGATATAAGAAATGGGTACCAACTTCGTTATTTTCAATGGAACACACTATATATTTTTAGAAAAAATGGAAGATCTTTCTTTTCTGATTTCAAAAATATATAGGTTGTTGAGATTCGGTTCAGCCGTTCATGAAATATTCTAGGTCGAACATTTGAGAATTAGTTATAGTTTTATTTTACCAAATCGCAATTTCCATGAAGAATCAACAACACATATCGTCGCCTCAAAGCAACACAACGAAATCTTGGTACCGAGATAATTGAACTTCAATTTTCATAATTACTTCAATCTCAGATATTTCGAGCTCTTGTAAAAGCATCACAGTGAAATTTTGGACACTTTCTGAACTCCGACTTATCTTACTGATTTTTCGAACAGTTAACTAACTGTTTCATCTTGTTTCACACTCCTCATTGATTCAATAGGCCTTTTCATCTAGATATATTTTTAAGACGCATGCGCTCGTTTTTAGATCCAAAAATGTATCGGGTAATGCGAAGGTGAAGTCTCATTGGCTATAGTTCCAACACAAAATGCTGATTGGCCATTTCGAATATGGCGGGTATTATTGACGTTCTGTCAAATGTCAACAGTGTCAACCACCATGGGCATTCGTCATTGAGAAACAACAATAACAACATAGTATTTTTATTTTTATATTCCTGGTGTGTATTATAATGTATAATTCAATTCCAAAAAACGTTACTTATGCGTTAGTGAGGTGTGGGGTATTGTGGTGCAAGTGTTTCGATGAAAATGGCCGCAACTGTCGTTGGATGCGAGATGTAAACAGAGATAGTCACACGTACAGACCCTTACTGGTTGAACAGGTCGGTGGAAAAATTCACTCAAGTATGTCAGGTAGTGCCATCTGTCAGCAGAGTGGTTTACTTGTAGTGCCACTCTGTAGCGAATAGACGTAAAGGTCTGTACTTGTGACTATAGATGACAGCGCCATACAGTGAGTGTCGCGATCCTTGGATTCTACCTTAGAGCTTTGCCACTAGATGGCTACAACATGACTATAACTTCTTGTTATACCCTGCGTCTTCAAAATGGGTGATATACTCGAAGCATAGTGTCCCAGTTGTCAGCAGACCGAGAGCGGCTGATGAGACCTGGTGGGTCGAAACAGTACTGTCTCGCTCCTCCTGACAATTGAGGCAACTCTGTTCATCCTGGATCTCTTAGTTATGAGATCTAGAAGTTGTACTAGGTTTTCATTCAGAACGACAATGACCCGCTTACAAATCACCAATAAGATTGCTTGCCCTACCTGCCGCCACATTCCCCTCCTCCGCTCCCTCGTTCGCTTCCGAAAACCCTCTCTTGCCAGCTCCAGCCTCCTCCCCCTGTTCCATTGCAGTGCCCGGCGCGTCCTCCGTTCCGGCGCCGGCGTCCGGCGCGTCGACCGCCTGATCGGCCGGCGCCGGATCGCCCTCTTTCACGGCCTTGAACTCGAACGCGTCATCGGCCGGCGGCTTTTGCTCCATGGGCTCGTCTTTGGGGGGTTTTGGGTTGGAGGTGGCGGAGGTGGACGGGAGATCGCTGGGCGGGGGTTTCTTGTCATCCCTCGAGGTGCGCGGTGGGGGCCTGCTGCTAGATGTGTTTTCTGAAGAAAATGAAAGGATGTACCGTGATTAGGTTTTCTCAATTAAGAATTTCTTTCCACGTCCTGTATGATGAATATCAAGGACCCCGCACATTGAGTACGGAAATTGGCTTTCGGCTAATTTTTCTGAAAATTTGATATGTTCCAGATATTAGCGTCCTTATTACACAGTCCAATTTACAGATCGATCCTATGACCAGTTTTCGAGCTACAGGGTGTCAATCATTTGATTCTGGCTGTTTACAATATTTTGCGTCGATTTGAATTATGTGCTCCAAATCGTTATAAATATTCAGTAGAAATGAACGGTCCACATCTAATTTCTACCTTATGAATCCCTCTATTTTAATAGATAATAATATCACATACAGGGTATTCCATTTCATCATGACAAGGTAATATTCACGGGAATTGACAAATATTGAAAATATCAGAATATCGATTTTTACTCAATCACTGAAAACTTGAAAACAAACGGCTAGAATCGGCCAATTATTCGACACACTATGGATCTTAATCATCAACATGGGAATTCATATGATTTTCTCTGATACAATGTCCGGTTTGCCATATATAGGGTGATGACAATTTGAAAGCTTAGAATTGATGTAACTCATGTATATACAAAATGAGATACATATAACAAATTGTTCATAACTGTTTATATAATATTTGAAAGTGGAAAATAAAATCTCATGAAATACCCCCACCAACCCCCTGAGTCACAACCACCCCAACGCATATCATGTCAAGTAGCCCCTACTTGTGATACCTCATTGAAAAGCTCGGTGAAGAAAATACATTCCAGCAAGGATTTTTGAAAAACGGCAGGTATAAACTACCCCTCTGGAGGGGTTGATCAGAATTATTCCACTGGTTGCATCTATATATCTATATTATATTCAAATATGCAATTTGAAAAAAAAATTCAAATCAGACATGCTTGGTCAGCATACTCTGATAGTGGTCGGCAGATTATACGCCCCCGCGTCATTGTTAAAAATTTTTCAAAATCGCAATACTCCTACCTCCCACTGTGCACAAATCAATGATTGCTCCAGAAATACATGGAAATACAGAATTATCTCACCCCCCATGCTAAAAGGTTTTCACGCTTCTTTTCCATTGGTAGCTTTGAAAACAGCAAACAGCGTTTCCTATTTTTTATGAATCGATTAAAAGGTCGTAAATCATGCGGCGAGGGTCAAAAGACAGTAGATGCGTGTCAAGCCGCAGTGCTAATGTGTCGTCGTCGAAAAAACTTCGATACCGATAGAAAAGCGCATCCTTTTTTATTGCGATAAATATTTTTTTGATGTGCCTAGAACTGGATGGCAGTAGATTTTCTATGGTGTCCACAATTGTTTCTGATTCTACCGTCCTTATTATTCCCGAGGTAATCCTAATTCAAATTATACGCGTAAATGAACGTTTATAACTTTTTATTTTTTAAAATATTCCATGATTCGGGAACTCAAGAAATATTATCGTTAATTGTGAGAACCTCACCGTAACATAACTGTGGTAACATTGCCGAATATTCTTGAATTTCTTGGTATATTGGAGCAGTCTGAAATGATATGAAATAATGATACCTAATTTGATATCCCACTGAAATTATGAAATTTAAATTTTTTACACATGCCAGACCCTCGTAAACATTGCAAATAAGGAATGTATATTTCATCTCTATTCATAAATGTTAATTCCTTTCAATTCTGAGAGCGGCGCCACTCTCTGGCTTCGTAATCCCTAACTTTTTAGGTTTATTTCTCATTTTGAGTGGATGAAAAAATGAGTACATATTTGTGAAGATCTAATCTATGTTCCTGCCGTCTCACTTTTGCGAAATATGAATCAGTTTTTCCTAAAAAGAAATCGCAAAATAACGTGTTTTTTGATGATTTTCCAATTTTTTTTGGGAGAACCGAATCGAATTTCGAAAAAGTAAGACGATACGAACATTGATAAGATCTTCACGAATATGTACAATTTTTTTCATCCACTCAAAATGAAAAATGACCCTGAAAAGTTAGAGACTACGAAACCCTTGCATTATTGCTATATATCATAGTACAACTTTCTTCTAAGAAATTTCCAATGCAGCTGCTGTCACAGCACAATTATTGCCTGAAAAATCAGAAGCCCAGGTACAAAAACCTTAAATGTTTTTATAACTTGTTCACGATTGGATGGGTATGAAGGAATGCAAATTACAGATGATATTATTGGCTTATTTGGCGCTAAAATATGAAACTGTCAAAGCCTCCTCTACCCTGTGGAGCATGTACTCTATGTTGAAATGTACCATTTTAGTGAAGACAAATGTAAACATAGCCACTTTCCAATTGATTTGTTATTCTACACCGAAAAAATAGTATAAGCAACACGTCCGAAAACAGTTGTTTCCGGACTTGTTATGTCTGTTGTCAAGTCTGTCAGTTTGGCATAAAATAATCATAGCAGTAGTGAGGTCAGAATGAATCGCTAATTTTATGCTTTTTATGCTTCGTGAAGCAAAATACCACACTGTTCGGAAATCTTCTCATAATTCTATATTTCATTGTTGTTAACTCAATTGTCTCGTATTGTTATCCGATTGAAAAAAAAAACTAATCATATCAAAGTTGTGAGATAAGGTTCAACCAATATCTAATCCAATAATCAAACAAACTGTATAATTCAAACTGGAAGTGCAAACCGCCCTTGTTCGCTTTGATGTCGATTTTCATTATTTGCTTCGAAAATATACGAGGTGGAAGAAAACTTCAAATATGGAAATTGTGGGGTTTCATCTGTACTATATTTTAGCACTGTTTAAGTACATCAGTTTTTTTAAATGAAACACCCTATATATTTTGAACTTTTGTGAAAGATCTTTTTTCTGTTCCCAAATATACAAGGTGGCCATTTTTCTGTGCTGTCTACTCGTCCGCTTCAGTGGAGAGAGTATTTTCTACATTTGGATTGGTTCACTCCAATTTACGAAATAAATTAGGAGTGGAGAAAGCGGGAAAATTAGTATTTTTGTACAAATACTATAATGAAAATGAAAATTAACATTGCATTTTTGTAAAAATATCTATTTTTTTTCTCAATATTGAGAATATAGTTTTATTTGCAGTTTGTATTAGTTTAATTTGCATTTTGAATATATTTTATAAAATAAGTAAATGTTATTTCTGATTCCACATTTTTTATTTTATTCAGTGAATAAAATAAAAAAAATCACTTGATTTGAATCATTGATTTAAATCGTGATTTAAATCAAATGATTTAAATCAGGCGAACCCTGCAGAATGGTATATGAAGGGTATTGCCAAAAAGTTTTGTTTTTTTGACAACACCATAAATTAACGGTTTTTTTTTAAAAGGGGTTCCCGTGCCCTTGTGAGAGCGCTACTTAAAGGAAAATATCAATAAAATTGATGGGGCAAACAGCCAGCACCTGTTTAAATCTAAACTAGTTTGGTTAGAAAACACTGAAAATAATGTCGGTGTTATCTGATAAGCCGAACTGGACTTGAGCTTTTGATATTTAATTTGATAACTGCGTGAAATAGTCATTATTATTGTATAGATATTTCATTCAAATTTTTTGGACCCAAGATATTCGTGGTAAGTTCAAGACTGTCATTGGTGATTTCACAGTTCGAATGAAAATGTGCTTGTTTTATTCTTGTATAAATCCATCAACCCCCAAAAGAATAAAATATACCCGGCTATGGTATGTCTGGTAAAATCGCCGCAAGCTAAAACTTATTATATTTCATACGTTATCAATAAACATATTTAATGGATTGAAACACATTAAAAACTGGTGTCAATCTTTTTTCATCGTCAACCAAGGCATATAAAAATTAATTTCATCAGAACTTATTCATACTAGTGTCAAAATTATTCAGTTAGCCATGAAAAACGAAAAAAAAAAAAACAGTTCCTAGTGTATTTTAAATCGATTATTTTGATACAGTATTCATTAATAGGTACCTATCGAATAAAACGTAACTCCGCCATAATTCAGATGGAAGTTTTCAGGCATTTTATTAACAAAAAAATGTACTCAAATATCAACTTGTGATGAATCATGAATTTCAGAATAGATGCTGAAATCAACGGAAGACAAAAAACATGCTTTGTTGACATTGAACAAATTTACATTTACAGTGTTTTCAAAACATTGAAATCTGATAAAAATAGCGAAGTAACAGCTTGCGGGGATTTTCATGTCTGTATCCAAAGCACTGCAAAACGTTTTTGTATGATTCCCCCTCACTCTCAAGCAATTATATCTACCAGACCTAGACCTCTGCAAACCTCTGTCTACAGGAGCCTTAACGCAAAGGCATTTACACCAGCACACTATGGAAAAAGTTCATGAATATGTGTTTAGAAAATATTTCGGCTATCGAGTTTCAGTAAAAAATTTAGTTTTTAAATAGTAGTTTGAAAACGCCTTCAATCAATAACACTCAACATGTATTTGAAAAATGGGGCTGTACAAACTAGTCGAATTCCCACCATACAGAGAAGTGCACAAAAAACGGCTTCTGAATCATTCGATATCGGATTATGAAAATTATTACTCATTTATCAACAAAGCAGTTTTTGTTCTATCACTCCCGGTTACACCGGAAACGACCCCAACTTTTGATTTTTATATGGGACACCCTGTATTTTATTTCATATTCGCTTAGGGATTGTCATAACGAATTCAACAATACGGGTTTGATAGGATTATTTCAAACGATTATTAGTTCGGAGATTCCATGCTCAATGAGTGTGATAGATAAAGAGGTTTCGATATTGCGCATATACAGGGTGTCCGGAAATTATGCTCAAAAAATCAAGGGGGTGAATAAGAAAACATGAAATTCATTTCATACATACTTGGGTCGGAAATGTTAAGTTTTCAAGATAGTGTGTAAAAATTTTTAGAAAAAATCGTTTTTTTTTATGATTCTCTTGAAATTTGGCAATGATATTCTTTGTCATGAGGG